CAAGCCATCCGAGTACCCTATACCGCCAGCCAGATCAAGACCCTGGCTGCCTGCATAGATACGTGGGCCATTCTGAGATGTGTTTTCCATGGGGATATAAACAATCAATACCCTAAAGACCCTATCTTGTCATTTGTCACTCAGCACCCTATAATTTTTCCAAAGGTTACTGCCTCTGAGCCATTAGTCCCAGCAACTACAATATACACAGATGGCTCCAAGACGGGGATAGGCGCCTATGTGATCCTAGGCAAGCCCCCGGTTACCATACAATTTGAACCTGATCAGCCTCAGGTGGTAGAACTGCAGATCGTTAAAATGATTCTTGAACGGTTCTCAGAAGCCATTAATATTGTCTCCGATTCTAGGTATGTGGTCAATGCTATGCAAGTGCTTGAGACTGCCGGTTTAATTAGATCCACTTCCACAGTGGCTGGGCTGTTCCTGTCTATCCAGACATTGCTTCAGAACAGACACCATAAGGTCTTCACCACCCACATAAGAGCACATACATCCCTGCCGGGGCCCATGGCACAGGGGAATGCGGCTGCTGATACTGCCACTCGCCCGTTATGGATTTTTACCTTACTAACACCAATCGAGCGAGCCCGTGCCTTCCATGATAAGTTTCATGTCAATGCCAGGACACTAGCAAACCATTTCCATGTTCCCAGAGCAGATGCACGAGATATCGTGCGACTATGTGACTCCTGTGCCACATACAAACCTGCCATACCGATGGGAGTAAACCCTCGAGGTTTGATCCCTGGTGATGTTTGGCAGATGGACATCACACATATACAGGAGTTTGGGACTCTTAAATATGTTCATGTTTCCACAGACACCTGTTCTCACGTCATATTCGCAACAGCAGAAACAGGTGAAAAAGTGTCTAATGTGATCAATCATTGCCTGGCGGCTTGGGCCGCATGGGGCAAACCAAAAATATTAAAAACTGATAATGGACCAGCCTATATAGGCAAAGCCTTCAATGAGTTCTGCAAAATGATGGAGGTTCAATTAAAACATGGTATCCCATACAATCCCCAAGGTCAAGAAATCATTGAGAGGGCTCATAAAAGCCTCAAAGAAATTTTACAAAAACAAAAAGGGGGAGTAGGCCAAGGCCTGGCCCCAAAGGCACGATTATCCATGGCACTATTCACACACAATTTTTTAAATTTAAATAATGATAATTGCTCCCCAGCCGTGGAGCACTGCAACCCTTCCCCCAACCATAAAGGGTGGGTGAAGTGGAAAGATGTCCTGACAGGACAATGGATGGGCCCGGATCCAGTGGTCAGCTGGAACCGAGGCGCGGTTTGTGTTTTCCCACAGGAATCGGGACGAGAACCACTGTGGGTACCGGAGAGACTGACACGGGCGACAAAGCCCTCGACTGAAGATCAGACCTGCCCTACCGGAGATCCATCACAGACCAACCAACAAGATGAATAGAAATAGCGGTAGCCCGAAATGGACAAGAAGATCCTCAGGCATATGCATGGCTCGCTCGCCTAGCCTACGACCGAGTCTAGGGGTGGTGAGCTTCCCACACTCCTCCTCTAAAAAATTATGACATAGCTGGGTAGGAGAGTCAATGACGGGTAAGAGCGTACTCCCCCGGTGCGACTCAACCTAAGCCAGGCCCTACCCCATCCTGCACGTAAGCCGCTGGACTGTTAGATGCTGCCCAGGTCTAAATTTCTCTCCGAGGGGATTTCTTTACGGAGAGAAAATGAGTGCAAGCTTGTGTGCATCCAGGTTCCGTCCAGTTTGTGCCTGGCCCTAGAAAAAGGACGAGGGCCTCAGGGCCTTGGCGGACCATGGGACGGCCGACCAGGGTCTAAGCCAAGGACCTACGGTGGACCTACACATAGGGCATAAGCCTCTGCACCCAGTCCAGGAAGGGCTACGATGCGCACATTCATAAAAAATAAAAAAGGGGGAGATGTTGGGAGCCGCAGCCCCGAGCCCGGTCGCCTCACTTGGCGGACGTGAGGCCTGTAGTAAAGAGTAAAGCCTGAGGTAGATTACCCCTCCCATCGAGCACGTTAGTTTCCTGCTTACCGCGTAAGCAACCCGCTCAACAATATAGTCTGCCTGGCAACTGATGATGTTAGCCAATCAGTTTGCCTTGCTTACTTTAACATGATTGGACACTGTATCCGTATATATACTGGTGCCACCCCTGGGGGGGAAGAAGAAGCCCGGAAGTAGAAGCCCAGAAGGAGCCGCGGGGAGCGGACCAAAGGAGGCTTCGGCTGGGAGCGATCCCAGGGCAGGCTGTACGGAGAAGGAAAATAAAAGAAAAGGTTGTCCACTGCCAGACTTTGTCGTGTGTCCTTCCTGCCGGCCGGGAGCGACATCGACAGGTGCTCTCAGTTCCAGTGGCTAATTGGAGAAAGGACTCCTCAGTGAATGTCCATCATATTAGCACCTGGATACACCTGTTGAGCAACATCAGAACCAGACACCTGCTGGTCCCAAGTACTTTGGGCTTCATACCTTACTTTGGGAATGGACATCCCATCAAAGTACAGATCGATGGACAAGGGGCATCAGGTATTGCGTCAGATATTGGTGGTGGTGAAAGGTAAGCTTCCAAAGATAAGTTTTAGAGTTTTTGCTAAGGCTGTATTTAAGAATAGCATCACACCGAAGATGGGAATATCATCAGAGGGACTTAGTTTCCTCCAGGAAGCCACTCTGGTTGACTTCATTTTACTCTGGTAATGATACGATTGGTTAAGGGAACTGGGTAGAAGAGGAACCAGAGGCCTGATACTAAACGTGTGTCCTGTGGGTGGGCCGCTGTGGTCTAGTATCTAAGTCTGTTCCCTCCCGCTTAGTCTGCCTGCTGCTTAACTGATGAGTGCTGAACCCTCCAAGATGACTCAGTCACTTTAAAACTTATCAGCTGATACTCATCCATATGGGCAAACAGTGTCTCGAGATGCAAATATCCTAGATAGCGTTGCTAAGGCTTAGTGTAAGTTAATGTGATGAGTTTCTCTCAACTAATGCCAGCTGAGAGGAGCCTAGAAAACGGATGCATAGTGGTGGAGGGAAAGATGATTATAAACGATAAATTATGAGGGAACTGTAGGCCCTGGCAGAGTGAGTGCTTGCAGGGAGAGCTGAGGGTGGGTCAGAGCGGGATATAAGAAGTGTGTGTGGGCAGGCACTGCAGACACACTGGCACTCGCCGTGGTTGGGGTTAGACTGGCAGTGAGGTGTGTGTGAGTGTGGCACGCCTGTTTTACGGGCACCGCATGCTGAAAAGCAGACAGTTGTCAGGTTTAGACTCCATGTGGCTGCTCCTCCCCACTAATTTAATCGTCTGATCCTATCAGACTTTTCATGTTTCAGCCTTGCCAAGCTGGAACAATAGCTTTGCTCTTAAGAAGGGCATTAAGAATTAAACAACCCCGCTGAGGGTGCCAAGTGAAAGCAGAATCCTAACAACAGCCTCTCTGCTTGCTCTCGGTCATCCTTGTTTCGGGGATTTGAGAATGCTGGTTTGGCTCTGTGTGTTCACATGACATGGGGAACCAGGGGCTGCAATAAAATTAGCAAAGTTGCATTTTGGATTCTTTGGACTTATTTAAAAATTCATTTAATAAAAGACAGGCTGACACCATGACACGTCATACCGTTTAATGAATCTTGTGGGAAGTCTGTTCGTTTACCCTCACTTCATATGCATCTTGCTTTAGGTCTGCAGAGCTCACAGGAAATTTAATCTTACTGCATTGCTACAGGAAATCCATTAAAAGAACAATCTTTAGCATTTCCTAGTGGTGTGCCCTCTGTATTTAGATAGAAAGGCTTTGTATTTTAAAGAATGGTTAATTCACATTTGCTCAGTGGCTTATAGCTCCAGGGTTTACCAAGTGTTATGTGGAGACACCAAAAGTTTTTAAAAAGAGAATTACTCAAATTGATCAAATAGCTTTTTCCTATATTCTTGGGACTTAGTTACAAGTGTTAAAAATAAGCCACAGATGAAGCAGCACATGGCATGGATGGAAGAGCCAACAGGGCTGGCTTGGAACTGCTGAGGCCAGAGCAAGGGCACAAGAGCAGTGACCCTGGCCCCTCATCCTGGAGCTGCCCACGTGGGAGGGCCACGTGTGTTTTTGCAGCTTACGTCTCGCCTTGACCAGTGAGGTAGGGACAGCCTGGCTTCTTGTACAAGGTGTGATCAAAATACTACATGGTGAATGCTTACAATTTATTCTGAAATTTTATTATCAGAAGTGACACATTGCCATTATTTCCCCTCAGAAGACCCCCCTCATTTCAAACACATGTGTCCCGTCGTTCTGGCCGCTTTCTCACGCAGTTCTGGGAGTCTACTTTCGTTTCGTCACGAGATGCGATCAAAAATGTAAGTGGCAGGCTTAGAAAAAACCCTGTGCTGGGACCTGACCCACCTTACCAGATCCGCATCGTGCAACTTCTGGCTCCTCCCCAAAGGCAAGAGGACCGTGGAAGACAAATGTTTTGAGTCAGTTAAGGGTGTTGAGTCTGCTATAATGGCACAATGAGAGACAGGAGAGAGGACTCATGGAACTATTTCAGAAAGTGGCAAGAATCGTGGGGCAAGGGCATACGAAGCTGGAAAAACCACTTGCCTGCCAGTCTGATTTGCTATCATTTTGAGAAGAAGTGAGTTACCCCCTCGGGTCTGCTACACTGTCATTTCCTGTGAAACAGTCGTGACCGCGTGGCTTCTTATCAATGTGGAATCTAAGTGATTACATAGTACTAGCTTATAGTTTAATTAACGTGACTCATGCGAACTTTAAATGTGCCTGTGCATGTTCTAGATGGAACCTGCTACCATAGCTAATGGACTTACTGTAACACACAGCATCGGTGTGAGCCGCTGGGGCTCTGGGGCTGGAGGGATATTCTGTGCACAGTAGCCCGGATTATGCTCATGTGGATACCTAGGGGTCACATGTTCAATGAAACATCTCGAGGGCATCATGTCTCAGTGGGGAGTTGTTTATTTACTTATCCAGGTACATAGCTGATGAGATTTGGCTAGCACTTACATGACATTAATAGACAGTGCAGAAGAAGGAAAGTAACACATTAGTCTCAGGGGTCTTAAGGCACAACCTGTATTTGTAGAGAGGAAAGGAATAGGATTTTCCCCTCACTAATTACCAGGAAGGGTTGACTGACTTCGCTGTGTGACATATTTCCTGCTTAACTGGTCACATTACAAGTATAGAATCATTTTCTCAAGTCACTGAAAGCTCATCTCTTATGATCCTTTAGGGAGTGTTTCTCGAAGTGAGAGGTTCCAGAGCCCCTCTGGGTGCTTTGTGAGCTGGAATGCTTTATGTAATTGGACTACTTTTCACCAAAATGTCAGACAAATTTGGCATGAACCAAAGCTTTGCTGATACAGTTATTTAGAGATGAGTCCATTGATGCTTCCACTTCATCTGGAGCAGATAAAAATACTTTGGCATTTAAGCAGATGCTGAGAAGTACCCTCGTGAAGGTGCAGAGCCAGCTCTGGGACCAGCAGCTGCCTTAGAGGAAAGGAACTGATGTCTGGTGCCCTCATAGAACACAGTGGCTCTCTTACAAAGTGACACTGCTGATGGAGACGTAACTGAGAACGTGGGAAGAAAGGCACAGGCGCACGCACGCATACACACACACACACACACACACATGCACAGCCTTTCTGTGTGAGAACATTTCATACCTAGCAAGTAACTGAAAACGCTTTCCTTCTAACAGAGACTGTGGTCCAGCCCCCCAGGAAACAAGCGACATGCCAACAGAGGAGAAGCAGACAGAAAGAAGGCCAGGAACACTTAGGAATAAAGACGATCTTGCATGGACAGTTTAATGGGTTCCCAGTTCAGTTTCATAGAAATAAATTTCGTCTGTGAAATCCAGGTTCAGAGCCCCCACTATCACACGGCGGTGTCAACCCCAACTCTCCAAGCACCCCTAAACCTCTTTCCTCATTGCTGCCTAGGGAAAAATTCTTTATTTAATGTAAGTTTGTTGCTACAGAAATTATGCTGTGAATACTTCATCATATTTGTGTTCCCAGTGTACTGGGATCACGTGATTCAGGGAGAGAACACTCAGGTGAACAGGAGAACAAAGGATACAGCACTAGTATTTCCTGGGACTCCTGCAGGGCTGTTCATCCCGGGACCCTGTCCATCACTGCAAGGAGGAGCTTAGTTTGGTGGGTTTCATAACTGAAACTGTTAGAAGTTTTTGGTCTATGGTATACTGATACATATGCCCACGTATGAATATGTTTGTATGCTCTGATGTATTACTGCTGCTTAGAATTTTTGCTTCTAATGACCAGATCTGAATTAGTGGAAAGTTTGAAAATAATTTAAGTCTTGAGTTTTAAATTCAGTGGGAAACCTCACACTCAATCATTTACTATTAGTATCAGGATTTTCTTAAGGCATGAGGTATATTGATAGGGTTGGTGAATTCTGGATCTATACTAGTGATTTACCATACTCAAAGCACTTGGGATGTATGTATTCCATTTAGATGAGTATACAATATATACATTTTTATCTGTTATGGAACTACGCGTGACATTGCTTTTTTTTACAATTGGCAAAGAATCAGTACAGGTAAAAGCATCTAGCCATCTAAAGTGATGTTTTGCTCAGAAGTTTGTGACTCTTCTTTTCCAAGTGAAGAATGTCTTTCTCCATGCGGAGTCATTACAATGAAGGTCTTTATTGTGCTCCCCTCACGCCTCAGATTGTTCATGTCCACGTCAACAAGGTGGGGGAGCTGCGACTTTCACTATGAGACACAGAAGCAACTAGTTCTTACTACACTGGAGCAGAGCACACACAGTTTAAAAGCAGCATAAGGAACTCTACAACCACCATGCATGAAAACCTTATGCAACCAGTCTGGGCCAGTATCAAACACTCGTTTTTTCGTTTGAAAGAATAAGGTGAACCCATGCTCAGAACCTTTGGAAAGCATGTTAAATGTACAGTATGTTATGTGGCACTTCAAAACAAGTTGGCACATCATGAAAGTGACATTTGGTCTCTGGTTTGCGGTGGAGCCATGACCTCCCCTTCCCTGTGGGCTTGGCTCTCAGGGCCCAGGTTGGCCAGTGTTGCTTTTGTTCTTCAGAATGGTGTCCTCGTAATGACCAGCCCCAGGGGCGGTGGTGGCCTCTAAAGGTAAGCCCTGCTGTTGGTAGCCGTAGTTGACATTCCCGCAAGGGAAGTGACGCAGCCGGAACAGAGGCACCTCCTTCATGCTGGCGGTCAGCGAGGACGGCTCCAGCAGCAAGGAGGCCCCAGGAAGTCTGCCAGTGGAGGTGGTGGCATTGGGTGGCACAGTGCAGCTTTCTGCACGGCCTGTGCTGCCCCGCGGCTGCGGCTCCTTTTTGGGGGGAGGATTGTTCTTTTTGGCAGGTTTCTCTGTAAACCACGAGCCATAAGTTGGGTTCCACAAGCTGGTCGGCTTGTTTCTGGATCCCTGGACCCTGCGCAGCTCCGGTGGTGGGTTCGACTGAGCGAATGCCATGTTAACATGTCCCCCTGCTGTAGCCGGCCCCCGGGGACCCTGCACCGAGACCCCTGCAGCTGTGGGCTTCTTCACAGCCTTATCAGAGGAGGCCACGGTGGACAGGGGTGGCGGCAGAGCTGGGGCCGGGATGCGTGCCTCCTCCTGCTTAGCCGGCTGGGGAGACACCAACAGAGGAGGCATCCCCTCAGGGTCTTTGGGCCGCATGGGCACTTTCTCCTCCTCCTCCACTGGCGGGCCATACTCTATGGGCAGAGCAGTGTTGATGACATCTGGATCCTGGGGTAGGAGAGAGGGACCCATGAAAAGTCAGTCACAGAGTGCGTTGCATCAGGAAGAGACCTTGGGCACAATCCTAAACGTGGAGTACTCGCTGTGAGTGTAATAACTCACAGCCCTGAAGGACAAAAAACAAGCTCCACCTACCTCATCATTGTCCTTGAAGGCCTGGAGGAAAGTGTTGTAATGGAAGTGTGTGAATGGGTGTTGGATGGCACCCCACTGGGGTGTTGAAGAGGAGGAGCAAATCTAACCAAATTTTACACATGAATAGCTTACTGTAAAAATCTTTTAAAAAATGATTCACTTATTCCCAATAAAATTCTCCCAAAGCATGCTGAAAAGTCTTTGTGGTTGACTTGAAGTGTGTGTGTGTGTGTGCGTGCCCACATGTGTGCACACTGCAGGGTTCTCTGTACCCTTTCCGCCTGCCCTCCTTACACATGAATTCGGCTGGGTGTCAGGCAGGCTAACTGGTCTACCTGGACTGCTCTGGCTAGGATGAGCCCTTTGGAGAGCCAAGGGAATACTCAAGCGCTACTGGGGAAACCATTGACCAAAACCAACTTTGTGCTAGGTCATTTTTATGTAATGATTGTAACACAGACAAAAGCAGTTGCCAGAGCTTTAAGGGAAATTTGTGGGAGAAAACTTAACTCTGGGGAAATTTAATTCATTAATGTTCATGCAAATTGGGAAAGAACCCCATGACTTGAGTTTAACAAAAGACATTCATCCTGTAGTCATATGTAAAAGAGGCTAAGAATGAAAACTGTCCTCGGACTCTTTCTAATCCCTTAGTTCCCTCCCTGTTTATTATGACTGTCTACAGTGAGTCATTTAAAAGTCATATGTGAAACTACCTGATTTTGAAAGGGCTGTTACATTCTCCGGGGGAAAAAGTCTCCAAAGAAGGTGTATAAGGGCGGATATAGTCCACATCGCGCCATTGCAACCTAAATGCCATCACACAAGTTGCTCTGAAAGAACCCCAGAGACCCAGGCAGGGAAGCTGCTCAGGAAGGAGGTGCCTGCCTGCCTGCCTGGCTATAGGGCCCATGGAGGTGGACAGAGAGGACAGCAAGTAACTACAGCTTGGAGAAGGGGTCCCATCTGAGGGGCTCTAGGGTAGCAGTGGGGTCACTGTCAGACGCTTCAAAAACAGCCTCGGATTAGAAATCCTACAGAAGGACCAGGAGGGAGGGGAGGAAAGCAGACATGGCACAAGGAGGAGAGGACCTGGCAACGAAGTTCTGAGGGCAGCTGGTGACACCTGGGCGAGGAAGGGGGACCTGGGAGCAGGTGACTCTGTGTCAGGCAGGAGAGCTAGTGGTCTCAGCCCATAATCATTATGATTTTCAATGTAAACAATTTTTATCCAAACGAGTCTGAAGTGATTTCATTCATTGGGGGAGCAGGTACACGCACATGACCCCACCTCATTCTTTTTCCTGCCCACCCCCTTTCCTTCCCACTCCCTCCATCTTCAGATCCCCTTTCCATTTAGGAAAGATCTGTCTCCCTATTTCCTGCTGCCTGCCTTTAGCTCTGTATTATTTATACGTTGGGTTTCTGATGTAAGTTATATGATATTGAAGCTCTTGTTCCTGACCTATTTCACTTAACACTGTGGTCTCAAGATGTCTCCATTGGCCACATGACTCAGAAATGTGTCCTTGATAGCACAGTCGTTGTTTATGTCCTTGATGAGGTGGGAGGCATGGGGGCCTGCTGGATATAAGGAGGGAAGTAAAAACTCAGTCACCCCCAAGAAAGCAGGAGAGGGGTGCACAGGGACTGTGGCACGACTTAGAAGCTGTGTGGCCTCTCCAAGCCAAAGCTCTCACCTGTCCAGTGGGGTCACCTGTGTCCCTCGATGAGGATCAAATTAAATGCACGAAAAGTGATTAGTGGAGTCTGCACCTACATAAGTGCCTCTGCTGATGTTAAACCTTCTCTAGATTACTTTGCATATTCCCTTAATACTCTGATGTATATAGTTAGACATACAGTATAGTGACTGTGTATTATTTATGTCACAGGTTGTTATTTTCCAGGAAGCCTATAAATTATTTGAGAGCAGAGCTGTTTCCTACTTCTAGTTAATATCTGTGAGTTGAACTGATTCCCTGCGACTAAGCCTGGCACTGTGTGCTGGGGAAGGGAGTAGAAAGGATGGATATTTATGGATGAAATGGGCCAACAGAGATACCAACCATTTCACAGATAATTGAATATTCATTCTCCTTATCATAAATCTGACTCTCTGACTGATTTAATTGTAACTTGCCATTCTGGTATCTGTCATCTTTTAAGACATTTTCATAGAGATTAAACATGCATGGTCACAGAGAGAGAGTTTATACCTGTGTGCAGTATTCAATCCTCTCCAAAATTATGGCAAAATTGGGTCTGTCTTCAGGCTGGTGTTGCCAGCACTGGGTCATTATCCGGTACCTAAAAGAATAAGCACATTCATTAAATCAGCACAAGCACAGGGGGCCTGATCGTTTTCTGCCCGTACTATCCTAAATGGGAGGGACCTGAAATGGCACAGATCAAGGGTGGTAACCCATCAGTGCCCTCGACGTTGGTGTATGCTGCCCCCTGCAGATAAACAAGGGAATTGGGCCCTTAAGGTGTTCTAACACAAAGCTAATTAACACGGACTTCTGGGCCTGGATTAAAGGTACTTCTGGGATGGATATTCTATTTCCTGCCTGCTTTGATCATGAGAGATACTAGGCAGAACAGTGGAAAATGCAGGCAGGGGAACTATTTAAAAGAGACTCAGGAGGTGCTGAGTCTGGGACGCAGCTCCCTGTGGGTGCTTGAGGAATACAGATAGGCCTCATGAATCTACAGCCTCCAGCCAGATGGTGGGTGCCTTTTCTGGAAGGCAGCATTGCTGCTGGGGCTGGAAGACTTAACCCCTCTCTTTGAAGTCCTGTCCTGGGGCTTATTAAATGAGGCTGCCATCTGCCCCTTTATGTTAAAGAGGGCTGTGTAGCTCCAGATAATCTCAGAGAGGAGAAACTGCTCAGTGACCAGTACGAATGTTCCCAGAGGAGTCATACACAGGCCCGGGGCAGTTCTTAGGTGGGTCCATCCGTCCTCCGCTGGTGACGAACTCCAGAACCTCCTGGTTGCTTTTGCTGGGGTACGGCATGTAGCCCAGAGAGAAGATTTCCCACAGCAGGACGCCAAAGGACCTGGGCGGGGACAGAAGAGGAGACACACACGGAAGAGCTTAACCTTTTCCCGTTCCATCCTTCTGCATTTTAGAGGACTGTTAGGATCCAGAAAAGGGGTGGAAAGTACCACACGCGACACACCATGTAAAGGGGATCACTGCTGACATTTTCTTTTTTCAAATTTCTGTTACGGTTTTGTGTTTAGATTTTTTAATCTTACCTAATCCCAGTTGTATTCAATATGTAGTTTGAACCTTGGCGTTCTCTCACATTCCATCATAGCTTACACTTTTCTGCATTAGTACATTGTATAAATAAAACCTGAAGTGTCTGTAAAATATCTCATTGAGTAGCTGTGTCTTAACTTGCCTTTGTCACATTTTCGATTTTCAAGATATTTGGAACACTGAAGAGTATCTCTATACAGTTTTTAAAGGAGGGTTTCCTTGGGATAAATCTGCTGAGTTACTAGATTAGGACAGTCTAGTAAGAATGATTAGGACAGTGTAGTATGATTAGATCAGAAGTTATAAACATTGACTTCCAAATGTGTCTCTGTCATCTACCACGCAGCACGAGAAGACCACAGGCACCATCAGCGCTCGGATGCTTGGTCAGGGTGGACATAGACGGGGAACAGCGCGCGTCTTGTGTCTTGACTTGATAGTTATCACAGTGGAATGTTTCCCGAGTGTTTATTAATTGATTTCATTTTTTTCTCCTCTGAATTTTCCATTCCTATCTTCTGCCCATTTTAATTATCTGGAGAAAATATTATTTTTGTGTCAGTCCATTTTCCTTTTATATTGTAGACATTTTTTATATGCATCAAAGATGTCAACCTTTTATCACATATTTAACTCCTTATACCACTTACTCCTTTCTTTTCTTCTGTGTGTGTGTGTGTGTGTGTGTGTGTGGTATCTGGCATTAATCCAGAGCCTTTGTATCTCAAATGTTTTCCTTTTTTTTTGGTGTCAGGGATCAAATTGATGACATTGTGCTTGCCAGGCAGGTGATTGTGCTACTGAGCTATATCCCCAGCTGAATCTCAATGTTTTAAAAATATTATTTTCTTATTATTTTGAGACAGGGTCTTGCTAAATTGCTAAGTTGCTTGGGTTATAGGCGTATATTATATACACTCAGCTAGCTATTTTCTCTTCTATGTTTTAGCATTTCAAACAGCTTTGTTTTGAGGTAGTCACATTTATTAAAAAATTTGAGATTCCCACTTATTTTATAATTATGTAATTCTCCCTTCATTAAGGATTAGATAAATCTTTGCTATTTTCTTCTAGTTCTGTTTGTTTTTCTCTCTTCTCCAAATCAGTTGGACTTTAATTTGTACAGAGTGAGGCAAAGCTCTAAAATTGGTTTGTTTACCCAAACTACTCCTTTGACACTATTCATAAAATAATTTCCCTTTTGCCTGTTGACTTATGATTAAAATAGGTCTATTTCTGCCCTATCCCCCCATTCACTGGGTCTGCTTCTTGCACCGATACCTCTCTGTTTTCTTTTTTGTGTATTTAGTATCCGATAAGGCCTTTGTGTCTTATTTTTCACTCTTTAAAAATATACTTCACTTCTCATTTATTTCTTTTGAATGACTTTGGCAATGGTTTTTATATGTTCTAAATAATCTCCTTTGATATTTTGATTATGATTTTATTTTAAATCCTTAATGTAATGATTAGCCTTTTTGACAAATCCTACTTTTTTAAAAAACTGTATTTATTTGTTTATTTATTTACTGAGGCAGGCTCTCGTTATGTAGTTCAGGCTGGCCTTGGATTCCCTATGTAGCCCAGATGGCCTTGAACTCATGTCAATCCTCCTGCCTCAGCCTCCCACATGCTGAAATTACAGGCCTATGCTACCATGCCTGGCTGTCTTTGTTTTTGTATCTGGACTTAGTTTTCTTTGTTAATAAACATTACCACAAAGACTGTGGAGAGCTACATTTCCAAGGACAATGAATAGCTGTTATGATCATCTTGGTGAAACTTCAGACTCCCCTGAGGAGGGCTGGATACTTTCTGTATTTTTCAAGTGGAAAGTTTGAGGTAGTGGGCTCACACACCTATCCAGGACAGACTGGAACAGACAAATACCTTTCTTTCTTTTGTCACTACAAATTCCCTGGCACATATGAGACTTGATCAGAATATATGGTCAACATTTAATTTAAAAACTTATTACAGTAACATTTTTACAAGATGCCTTTCTATTAGATGACACTTAGCAGCCTTCTCTGTATTTTTTTGTTTCTCATCTCCTCAGGTAAAGACACTCACGAAAGGACTTCTAGAACTCATTCGGAAGACGTAAAGAATGGTGGCATAAATGGGTTTGAAGAAAGAGGGACTTGGGGGACCAATGGCCGTGTGTGTCCTACTGTAGCAAATTTTTAAAAATTTAAACATTCACCATATGTTCAGTCACACCTTGGGTAATTTTCCTGTTCTCTTTGTGGTCTTTCTGTTCTCTAAGGCAAGCAAGGCCTGAAGATTTGTGACTGTGTGCTCTCTGCCTGGACCTATTAGAAATAAAGGCAGTTAAGTAGAGAGATGATAGAAAGAGATAGCAAGAGACCTCAATGTCATTATTTTGCCTTTGTGCTCTCTGTTAGTTTGACTAAGACAGACACAGGTGAGCTGGGCTCCCACCCTTCATGTGTCACGGACTTACTTTTTGCCTTGTAAAATTATTCTTAAATATTATCCTGTGCCCCCACCTTTTTTGCCCGTTCCTTTTTCACCCCAGGTGTGCTCTTTGTGGTTTATTCAGGTCCATACCTGCAGGTGAGTGTGTCCCTCTATACTGAGCAGTGTTCCTCGGTAAAAGTAAACCACTCTGAGGGAAAACTAGATTGACTTTGCTGTTTCTCTATAAACAGTATGCAGATGAACACTCTTGCTCACATCTCTTGGGGTCAACCTTTCTGTAAGGTAGAACGGATGGGTCATAGGAGATGACCATGCGCCAGAAGCAATTCTTCACAATGTGTACGTATTGTTGTGTGTCTGGGTGTGTTAGGGAGCTGCTGCCCTGCCTTCCTGCACCTTGGAATGGTCTGGAGCACTTGTTAAACACAGACCCTGGCCCCAGCTTCTGTTCCCTGAGGCCTGAGTAGGAGTCTGGGAATGCGTATGTTTGATTCCTTCCCAGGTGGTGCTGATGCCCTAACCCATTGATCCTATTTAGGGACCCACGGGGTTAGGTTAAGGCAAATTTCACTGACTTAGAGACAATAAAGGCTCCTGATCACAGCCTCCAGCCTACAGAGATGAGGAAGGGATTCTAGGCACTGTGACCATCACATCACAGAGTCCTGAGGACATTTGTCCATCAGTTTGCTGTCTTCTGTTCCTGTATGGCTCAAGTGTCGTGTGGCCCTTGGAAGCCCTGGATTCTCTGTCCACTTTTTATTATTTTCTTTTTCTCCTTGGAAGCGTGCAGAATGCTCATTGCCGCTGGTCTGAAATGTCACGGTGATGTTCTCCTGTGTCTCTTTTTATCCGCAGGCCTTGGAACTTGGTGGGTGATTTCATTCCGGAAAGTTTTATGGTCTATTTTGGGAAATCCTCAATTAATCCTTTGATATTTTTATGCTCTTCATTTCCTCTGTTCCTTCTTTCTGGGACTCCTATTTTGTCAGCTTACTTGATCTATTGATTAATCCTCTTAATCTTCTTTTCTTTCCAATGTATCCTATCTCTTTTGAGTTTTTTATTTTCCAGAAGACTTATCTAACAGTATATTCTAACATTTCTATTGCTTTTACATTTCTGCCTTCATATTTTCGGAAAAAAAGCTTTTATTTGAAGTTGAGAAGAAATTATGAATCCAGAATTCCCACCTACCCCACACTCAGCTCCTGCTATTTTTAACGACACATTAATAAGGTACATTTGTTACAATGAATGAACCTATATCAAGACAGTATTAAATAAAACTTAGTTAATAAGGATTTCCTTAGGTTTTACTGATTTTCCCTTTTCTATTCATGAACCCCATCAGGAGACTCGGCAATATCCTCCACTGGGGTGTGTGTGCTTCTCCTGATTAGCCTGGTCTGGGGAGGAGGACGGTAGTGTTCACGTTCTGTTTTCCTCACGTCAACTCACGGTTATGGTTATCAGCATGACTGACTTCTGCTGACACTGACCCAGTGAGCTAGTATTTGTCAGGCTTCTCCATGTGATATTCTTCTCCCAGCCCTGCTTTTCATGGCTGGACTCTTTGCAGGACACAGCAGCCTCACACACATGCAGGCTCCATCTCCTAGGAAGGCTCTAACATCATATTTCCATTTCTGAGAGTTCCTTTTCTCTAAAACTATCGCCTTAAGTAATCTTTTGTGCTATGCTTATGTTTGTAAATAATTTCTCTGCCCTTTCTGTGAGTATTACAGCTTTTAAGAAGTTTCCGTAAGCATTCTGCGTTTTGCTCCTCCATGTTTTTTCTCTTAATGCTTGTTTTATTCAGACCAGAATCACTTCCCAAAGCTTTGTGGAATCTGGGATGGCTGTTCTTATTTCAAACTGGGGCATTACAGAGCTCACGGAAGCTCTGCAAAAGTGAGACTTGAGGGCCTGGGGCAACTGGCTGGATGATTTCACTGGGTGTGTGCTTTTCCTGAAGCTGCTCTAAGAAATTACCAAGCAGCCTGGGTGCAGTGCCGCATGCCTGTATTGCCAGTTAACTGGGAGGCTGAGGCAGGAGGATTGCAAGTTTGAGGCCAGCCTGGGCAACTCAGCGAGATGTTTCTGCAGAATAAAGTTTACAGAGGATCTGGGAGTATACCTCAGTAGTCGAGTACTTGCCTAGCATGGTGAGGACTTAGGTTCAATCCTCAGAACTGAAAAATAGTTACCACACACTGGATCGCTTAACCAACACACGTTCAGTCTCTCATAGCTCTGAAGGCCAGGTGTCAGAGATCAGCCTCTCTGGGCTGGCAGCAAAGTGCCTACAGGGCTGTGCTTGTTCCTGAGGCCTGAAGGGAAAATCTGTTCCTTGCTTCTCCCTGTGTCTGGTAGCAATCAGAATCTCTTGACTTGTGGCCATATCGCTCCCATTTCTGTCTCTGTGACACCCAACCCAAAGCTGTCTTGTCTCGGAGTGGCTTGGGAACTGATTAGAAATACAGATTCTCAGCCCTTCTGGATCATATTCTCTTGGGATGCAGCCTCTCCCATGATTCTGATGTTTGCCAACACTTGAGAACTAACTGTGTGGAGCACATCTGACCTTTTCTTCTCTTTCTCCCCAAGACTGAGGTGGATCACTGGCTGAAGGGCACCATTTTAGGCTGCAGGGATATCTGGAGGGGAGGAGCAGAACACTCACCAAGTGTCCGTTTTCGAAGTAAATATCCCTTCCATGAAAGCCTCGGGGGGCATCCATTTGACAGGCAGCATGGCGCACCCTCCTTTTCTGTAGTAGCTGGCTCTGTGGGAAGGAGAAAGCAAACTCAGATCTAGAGATGGTACCAAGCAGAAGCTTGAGTAAGTGGCGAGCACACGGTCTACCCATGAAAGGCTTAAAGTAATGAGGGGTCCTTGGTGACTCAGGAAGAGAGTGGGGGAGCACAGATCATTCAGTTAAGAACTCTGGTGTCATTTCATGGCCCACTAGAGGCAGGAAAGGAATGATCTACACAATGACTAAGATCCTTGCTAGCAGAAGTTTAGATTTCCCTGTTGGATTTTGTTTATTATAACTCACAACGAAAAACACGACTCCACCTTGTAAGTACAGTGTGTTTCTGATGACCTGTGGTAATGCAAGACCCAAAAGGGGAGGGCTGAGAGCTGGGCTCTCACTGCTCCATGTCCTCCATGGTACTCATCTGCCCATGTTTAGTTCAGTAAAGGCTCTCAGCAAATAGCCCTGACGGTTGGCAGGAGCCTGCTTTCTGAAACACAGGCGTTAGGAGAACATAGGACGAGCAACACAGTTAGCGTAAAAGGTGGATGAGTTGATTGATTATGTTTTCACTGGTAATGTCATTAGTAACACTCTGATGAAAACTAATAAATTGGCTCATCTACCTTTAAGCCAGTGCCACACATAGCCTGGTGTTCTGCTGCCTGGGTGTGTTACGGGAGGCAGCTTCCTGCCAGCTGCCTACATTAATTACTTCAATAAATATGTACTGAGAGTCTAGTATGTATCAAGTAACTCTGTCATGTGCTGTGCTTATAAATAAGTCATCATCGCTCTTGCTCCCAAGGCTATGGTTTGATGGAAGAAACACATGTTTGCAACTGAAGCACAGAGTGACACAGGGGTCGGGGCAGTGTTCAGTGACACGAATGAAAGCCTGATCTGTTCCACATGAGCTTGGGGTAAAGCCCAGGGAAGGCAACTCACAGGGCCACTGATGGAGCTGGGAGGCCCAGGAGCTCTCCTGGAGGATCATCCTGACCCCGCACATGGACTGATATGTGAGGGATGCTGGGGCTGTAGGTAAACTGTGTGGGTTAAGCCTAGAGATGGGGAGCTATAATGGTGTGGATCTTAAATATATTCCAAGACCTACATGCTGATGGTTTGGTTGGCAGCTTGTAGGACTACTGGGAAGTGTGGAACCTTCAGAAGGTGGAGCCTAGTGAAAGGAAGTGACATCAAGGTGAGTGTACTCTAGAAGGGGAGATGGGGACCCAACTCCCCTTCCTTCCTCCCTCTGCCTTCCGGCTGCCATGAGGTTAACAGACCTCAGGCCCAAAGCAGCAGTGCTAAAGGACCATGCACTAAAACCTTTGGAAGTGTGAGCCAAAAACAAACTTCTTCCTCGTTATGAATTGATTTATCTCTGTGTTGCACAGACAGAATGCTGACTAACACAGAAAGGAAGAGCTGGCTGAGGTGCTGCAGCATACAGATATGAAAACGGAGGTGATCAGGGTGTTCTGAGAAAGTAGAGGGGAGGAGCTCAGAGACTCGGTGTAGAAAGTAGAGAGTAATGCCAGGCACGGTGGTGCATGCCTATAACCCCAGAACTCGGGAGACAGAGGCTGAGGATTACTTCCAGTTCCAGGCCAGCCTGGGCTACACAGTGAGTTCACGGCCAGCCTGTCTCAAGTCAAGCAAAGTCAAGCCAAGCAAACAAGACCAAACAAAGTCAAACAAAGCAAAGCAAAACAAAGCAAGTAGAGTGGACTCTGGAAAGTCACATAGTGACAGTGGTGGGGGACTCCACTGAGCTCTGTCCTGAATCTGTCCTCCACACCCTGCCATCCCAAGGTCCCCGGATGGTAGCAGCACCATCACCCCTCTGGAGCTTGTTACCAGCACTGACAGAGACTCACAGATGTCTGGATCATCTCACTGATTTTCCGCATAGTTAAGTCTCTATGCAACCATCTCCCCACTCTCCTGTGAGTTAGGGAAGGGGCTAATCAGTGACCATGCAAAGGAACCACATGCTCAGCTCTTGTAATGAGTCGCAGTCGTATCTAATTACAAGGAGCTATGAGGTTGGAAAGAGGAGGGAAAAAAAGTGCCATAGAAATATTCTTTCTAAAATCAAAGATTAACTTATCAATTTTTAATGTTGCCTTGGGCCTATGATAGAGAAAAAAAGAAGCTGAGCTAAGTCCCCGTGGACTTTGAATCTATTCCAGTGTCCTGCGGCAGGTAAGTCTGATTACTGAGCTGGTCCAGTATCTTGTCAGTGCAGGCTGCTTGTGCCCGTGATGGGCTCTACTGCATCCTTGCACATTTCCCAAGTACCGAGGACAGGGGTTAAGCTATAAAGTTCACTTGGAACTTTTTTTTTATAGCAAGTATCCAAATTATTCTATGTCTCAGAACATGGCAGGATTAGAGAGTTGGAACCAGAGAGACAACCCAATTAAACACTTCGCGTCAATTACTGCAGGCAGTGGGATCCAGAATTAGACTCTCGGGCATGGGCACTAATTAAAGCTTCCCATATCCTCCTGAAAGGAAATCACTGAAATTTCACGAGGGAAGTTGACAGTACCAGGAGATGATGAAAGGTATGAGGAGCTGCAGCCATTCCTTTCAGAGGATGGCTGGGGGTGGGGACAGGCTTTCACAGGGGACGGCAGCCCACGCACCTGTAGATGTCTCGGGCCATCCCAAAATCTCCAATCTTTGCTATTCTTCCGCTGCCTGGACAGGTCAAGAGGCAGTTCCTGGCAGCAATGTCTCTGGGGAGGAAAAAAAAGAGAGAAAAATCTTTGAATTTTGTCTTGGGAGGCTAAATGTATCAGGTGCATTGTGGGGTTTTCACCTCTGATATGAAGTTTAGACAGCTCTTTCCTCTGTCCTGTATTTCCTTTGTTAGGTTAAACTATGTGGAAAAAAATAGTCATGTCAATTTCAAGCCTCAGAACGAATAGGCAAATGGAAAAGAATTAGGAGAAATTACTGGAAATGTTTAACAGAACAATAAAACCCAAAATATCTATAACAGGAATTAGAACTTACTAGCTTTTTACTACGTGGTAAGAGTCATTTTAGATACTTCACGTCTAATTCTCATAGAAACCATACAGGGTACCCTAATCTCCATTTTGTTAAAAATGTGGACTAAAAGCAGATAACTCAGGAGCATAAAAAAATGCTTCCTGGCAGTAGGCTATTGTCATGTGCAGACTACAGGATTATTTTTGCCAGTTGTTTGAAGAAGTGTTTCAGAACTATGTGACTTTCAGGATACCAAGCTGAAGCAGGTTTAAGATATTCCCAAATATTTCTAGTTGAAACCATTATGGTTCTCACACCCATGATTATATATAAAGTCTTTGCCAAGCTGCGTGGCTGAGGAATCATTTCTTTGAGATTATGAAGCCGGCTTCTTTGGAGTTGGGCTCCAGATGGCCCATTTTCCTACGGTGCACTCCTGAGTCCAGAATGGAAGCCTTCCAAGACTTGTCCACTCTAACTCTTGGACTTTGTACCCACTAACATGCATGTGGGAATGAAGGTCACAGCCAGACGTTTGGAAGGGTCTCTAATACTATTAAAGTCCTGTGCAGAGAAAACAAACAGTACCTTGTAAAGGACAGATGATGTTTTTTCATATTTCAACTGGTTTCATGAAGGTTCTGATTTTTGATTGAGAAAAAAACTTGGAGAATTAACAGCTGGCTGTTAAGACACTATTTATAAAAATAGGGCTTGGACTGTGAATCGTGGTTTAAGATGCCAGACTAATGGACTGGCATGGGTGATAGATGTTGCTAATGTCACTGACCTGATCCATAAGGTTGAAGTTGAATTTTGAAGGTCAATGGTTCATAAAATGCCCTAAAAAGCCATAAAGGCATAATATAGATGTCATCAAAAAGAAGAAAAAATAGCTGGATATATAGCTGCTAATTCTCAAGAGAAACACAGTGAAATAGACCAGTAACAATATTTATGGCTGCAAAAAGGTCTTTATGCTGACACATATGAAATAGTTGCTTTAAAAGTGATCTTGAACTTAATGACGAGAAAGTAAATGTAGTACCCAGAACACACCCAGAACTGGGAGAATGGCGCATAACTCTTAAAGTTGCAGTAAATCACGTGCAAAGGAAATAGATTTAATGAAAAAAAAAAAAAAAAAAAAGGAGGCAGGGAACATGCACCTCTGGTGAGGGAGTTCCACTCTGAATTCAGAAAGTGTCTGAAAGTGTACATAAGTCCATGAATCTTTAGGGCAGACATAGGGGAAGAGAGGCATATACTTAGGGTTGCTACGGGAATATGCCATTCTCCTCTTTGCTAGTTAGAAGACACAAGAGATGCTTTCTTATTACAGATTACCAAACGACACCAGAAGGAAAGATGTGATGGAAACAGATGACTTTTGCCAGAAGTTTTATTTTGCTTAAAGCAACTCATCTGATGCATACTTAATTTGATCTTTGACAATTTAATGCCTTAAGAAAAGATAAAAGAGCAAAGTGTCACTGTGGGAGCTAATCCCACCTTTCAGTGGCTAGTTATAGAGCTGGCAGTGACAAGACTCCTGAGAGAATGTGACCCTATTATCTCATCATAGCTAGGAGAGCATGCGATATCATCACAATGTGTCATGCCTCTAGGAAAGCAGATTGCATGGATACGGTCCTTTTCCCGGAGACTCTGAACGTTATGGTGCAGAATTGCAGGTGGACTTGCCGGAGCAGAAGTCATCTCAGGGAAAAATGAAAGGAGATGTTTGAAGTTACCAAAGGGACACACAGGCTGCTCTCATGATTCTAAGCAAGAAAACATGATTCTAAGCAAGGATGCCTTTCAATGAAAGTACAACCTTGTCACAACCGAGCATCACTACAGCGCAGCTGAAACTTATGCAAAGTTCTGCATCTAATGAAAAAAGGCAGGAATAGGACCAAGCGGCACTTTGGAGCAGACTCTATGGCTTTAGATGAGGACATGGAGGGCGGGTCCCAGCTCTTCTTTTGCTTCAGTGATTCCTATGAAGCCAAACAACCCACAAGAGGAAGATCTCCAGGCCAAGCATGATGGTCACTGCTTGGCATTGGGAGTGATATTGGGAATGGTTGTAGGTGGGCTTCTCAGTCTCTGGTTTCCTCATGTTATCAGGGAGAAAGAACAGAGTTCATTACACACTCATACGTTGCTACTTCTAAAACCCATACTGTAACTCTCATTTTCAACTTTGTAATTATATATTCTAATTATTATAAACACGTCTTATACTCTTTGAAGACATGGGTTAATAATTGTGAGCCTACCAGGCTATTATTTATTAAATTAGAAGCAAATCATTAGCATGAGCTTTACAAAGAGCCCAGTACGCTATTTGACTTTTTAGTTTTCAGATCAAGCTGTCGTCAACATCCACAAGATAAATGAGGTCTACGATGTTTGCTGCATTAAGTGTGGATGTGATGCTCCAGCCTAAACAGCATTTCAAGAATTGTGTGTGGCAGGGGAAATGACATAGACCAGTAGAGAAAAGAATTATTATGCTTTATTTCACAGTTATGTCAGAAAAAATTAATTTATCCAGCAAACATTTATTGTGCCCCACCATAGGCCAGGGATATGGAGATAATGAAAACATTGTTGTTGCCTCTGAGTTACCCACTGTCCAGTACGGGAACATTGGGCTCCTTTGATTTTCCCTCCACAAGCCCAGTTTTCTAGATGGGAGAGCCTTAAGGTGATACAAGACCTGAGTGTCCAAGACACAGACAGGATTACTCACAGGTTGCAGAGCTCCCGCCTGTGCAGGAAGAATTCATGATCCCTTTACTTTGGGGGCTGGGGAAGCCTGGGAGACTCAGCTCACACGGCTGACAAAGCTGGATCTCCTCTGGGGGAGAGACCCACAGTTCTGCTCTGAAGGGGGTGCCCTGGCCTGTGGGACCCGCGGGGAAGGGCGCACGAGGTGGTGGGGTGAGCGAGCGTGGTCACTTGGACTCACCGGTGGATGAAGTGGTTTTCCTCTAGATACTGACAGCCACAGGCAATGTCCCGAGCCACATGCAGAAGGTCCAGCATGGCCAGGGAGGAGGGCTGACTCTGCGGGGAGACAGAGGAGATCCGCTGATGGAGCTCTCGGGGAGCGGGGAGGTTGGCAAACTTGCTTGCTGCTTACAAGGAGGCTGAAGACAGCCATGGCTCTGCACACCAGAAATCCTCTGAAGTTTTAGGAATACAGGTCCCAACCCAGACCCAGAAACCTTCCCGGCAGATTTCATGTTTGAAAACATCCCAGGGGATTCCGACACCTGCCAGGGCTGGGGGTGCCCAGCCACAGGAACACAGCACATGACCCATGTCCTTTCCCTTTTAGTGTACCCCGCAATTCTTCTCTTTTTTAACTTCTGTGCCCCCATTTATAAACAAGCCTGTAAGGAAACCAAGGGGGTGATATAATTTTAAATGTCTTAAATTATTTTTAAAATTTAATTTCCATCAAGTGTATTCAGACCTAAAGTGGATTAAGCAAAGAAAAGCTCTTGGAGAATAATGGACAATTAAGAGCCATCTCTAGCTGTCCTATACAGTCTCTTTAACGTAGAAGGAAATGTCACCTCACCTATGGGACATGCCCTGTCTTGGCCTATGGACAGCCTTGTTGAGTGTCATGAGGTCTTTCTGAAGGTGACATCCATTCTTGGTCTCTCTTTCAATTAATCACAGTGTAGAGCAGTTTCATATTCACTGTCACGTTTTATTTTGTATTGAGTTTACCACATCCTCAAGGGGACTGTGAGGTCTCTGATACAGGGGTTCATCATTCTCTCCCACTGTGTCCCACATGAAGATGGGCGCATTGTGGGCTATTCAGTAAGCACTGGGAGGGAAGCTGGTTAGCTGGTAATAGTCTGGTCTATGGTTTACCTAAAGCAATGTGTTTCAAATATCTATGCAAAAAAGCAGAAGTGGGCAGTTACATCAAACCCCAGCAATGGTCTGAATGAGTGTCCTCCCAAAGGTCCATGTGTCCCACGGATGACTCCCGTGGAGGTGCTGTTGGGAGGTGATGGAAAGCTTTGAGAGTGGACCTAATAAAAGGTCCTTTAGTCACTGGTGCTGTGCTCTGGAGGGAGATTATGGGGCCTCGGTCTGCAGTTTCTCTCTGTTTCCTGACTCATGAGCTATAGGATTTGCTCTGCTGTGCACTTTGGCCATGATGTACCACCCTTGTCTCTGGCCCAAAGCAATGTGGAGTCACTTGGTCTTGGACTGCAGTATCCAAAAACAGTGAGCCAAATCATTTTAAAAAGTAAATTAATTACCTTGGGTGTTTTATGTAACACAAAGCTAATTAATATACTCCTTTATTTCTGTGTTCAACTATTTATTTATTTAAGTTAATGCCCTAGAAAGACAGAAAGCTGGTAACTCTTGGACAAATTCCTAACAAGAAATTCCTCCTTGTAGGCTGCTGATTTTCTCTTCCTCCCAAGGTTCAGAGCCCTTTCACCCTGGTCTGCACTGCAACCCCAAGATAGGGCAAAAATTTGGTTTTTAATTTTGAGGTGCCCATAGGTAATCCCTCAGCCAGAAAGCAGCAGTATATGTGAGACAGTCAGAGAACATCACAGGACAGGACAAGCTCACTCCTGGCCACTAAGATGTCATTCATTAAAAGGGAAGTTTGATTGTGTTTGATTCTGAGACATTCAGGACTGAGAAGCTGCTTTTGCTAAAAAATAGTAACTCTCCTTGTGGGCCTACAGATAACAAATGGGTAACCCAAAAGCAACAAAGCTTGACCTTGGTTTTATATCTGTTTACTTTATTGCCTAAGAATGTTGGGTCAGATCTTTGCCGCACATGGGCGCGCTGGTGGTTTAGGGAATATCTGTCTAAAGTGATAAAGTCAGAGTGATCAGCCCTGAGTTTACAAAACCTATCTCATCTCCCTTCAAGACTGAAGACATCACTGTGTGAGATTTATAGGAACATCTGCCTGTCAGTGAACGCTCAGTCATTGCCCTAAACCCATGGTCACCTTAGATTCCAGCAGAGCCGCCATAAAAATGAGATGGTCCCAAGCATAAATAGCATCTCATGGAGACTGGATTGTCCCCGCAAGTAATGAAGACTTCTCCCCAGAGCCATCTTGCAAAACCAGAAGTGAGAAAACGATCAGCCAGACTCTAGGCCACTTCAGCCCGCTCATAAAAGCCAGTGTCATAGGGTGCGGCTGTGCACACCTGTAATCTCAGCACCAGAGGGGCTGAGGCAGGAGGCTCATTATGATTCTGAGGCCGGCCTGGGCTACATAGAGAGTTCGGGGCCTACCTGAATTACATAAGGGAACCCTGGATCAGACAAGCAAGCAAGCAAGCAAACAGAAGATGGACCTCATTCTTTTGTGAAGCACCAGTTTGATCTCCATCAGAGCTGGGACCCTTTACCTCCTCAAGCTGAAATCCCTTCCCTATTTCTTTCCCTTTCTAACCCTGTCTGGTACACATGCCTATGCTGCTCACTGATGCATCCTGAGATCAGAAATGCATCACTGATGCACTTCTGCCACAGGAATTGAGAAACCTATGCCAGGAGGCAAGCTGAGGCCCCCTGTCTCCTCTTTGCAGTGACCTCCTCAGACTCCATCTAGCAACGCCCCGGGTCCAGCTGCAGGCCATTCTTTAGCTCTAAGGAGACAGCTTAGGGAGAAGAATCTCCTGCTGCCACCTGAAATTCCCTAGCTCCAATCCGCTGCAAACTCCCCTTCGATTCCGTGGGCTGTGTGGTAGATAGGGAAGGAAGATATTTCTGTATTAAAGGTGAGAAGCTGCAGAGATGTTAAGTGACTGCCTCACGGCACACAGCTAATAAAGAGCGGTCTGGGCAGGGCTGACAGAATCTGAGCTGGGGGAGGCAGGATTCAAGTAGTTAAATTTGCACTGCTTCTTAGGAGGGCGGGCCAAGGAATGACGGAACACAGGTGAACAGAGAACAGGACATGGCTTACAGGTGCAGTTCAGTGAACAGCGTGTTTCAGCAGGCACTGGAGCAGACCTGGGCTCCACCCTGCTCCTTCCCTTGCTGCTGCTAAGCCTCTCTGGACCCGGCTTCTCTCGGGTGAAAGTTTCTGATACTGAAAGCCTCCTGGGTTTGTTGGGAGGACTCAGCAGAGCCACAGGCCATCAAGGGACCTACAGACTTTCTGGGCTGTGGCAGGGGAGGGGCTCGGGGCTGCACCTGTGGGTGGCTTCTCTAGAGGCTCTGGGAGGGTCTGAAGTACTGAGCTCCTAGGGAAAAGCACTTCCACCAGAAGTATGCCTCCATTTTGCTGTAGTATTCCAGATATATTCTCTCCTTAGGACAAATGCTTTCTGTTCCTACCAAAGGACTGTCCTGGCTGTAGTAGAGCCTTGCAGAAGAGTTCTTTCCCTGGGTCTCAGCCTCCAGCACCCAGGATTCCTGAACCACTGATGTCTCAAAGGCCCCAGAACTGGGTGCTGCAGGGATGGTATCTTTCCAGGCTTTAGCTCAGGGCCAGGTTTATGGGGGGCTCCCTGAAAATCCCTGCCCCACTGGTCTGTGCAGAAGCAAGCAGTCAGTGACTTTGGTGTGGGTGTCTGAGGCGCTCTGTGTGTCTACACTAAGTAATGCGGGGGCAGAGCTGGCCAGTGTGCTGCCATCTGTATCAGGGCTGAGATGGTTCTGGGATCCGGGTTTTATCCTTGACTGGTCCCTGTGGTGTGGCACTGCCTTTGGTACCGAGATATTCTTCACACCGCAGCGCGCTAAGGACAAACCCTGGGGGGCCTCGTAGAACTTGTCCAGGATTCCCATGTGGGTTAGACCTCGAAGATGAAAGGGGCTTGGACATTCCAGGGCCAAGGAGGTCCTCTGGACAGGATCGGGCAGTCTTCATGCTAATGTGGAGTGAAAGTCTAGAGGTGTGAGTGGCTCTGAAAGCTGTTTGGCCCAGGATCCGTGCATGCGTGTGACCTCGTGGCACTCTGGGCACAGGTGTCTTCTATTCAGGGACACTGTCACAGCTTCTGTGAGGCTCCTCCCAAAAGATAAAGTGTACTATGGTAGTAAAATGTACAGTCATACTGGCATTTGTTTTCTTCCTTTTTGTCAGAGGCAGGGGAGGCTGGGGATCGAACCCCTGGCAAGCACTCTACCAGAGTGCTACGATTTCAGCTCTCTCCCTTTTTGCTTTATAAAGATGCACAGGACACGGGGAAGGAACTCTTCCCCTAACTGAAAACCAGAATAGGGATATATTTTAGAATCAATGCATGTGAGGATGAACAGGGGAGATGAAAGAAAGAAGCAAAGAAGACAGACAGGGAACACAAAATCTAAAAAAGCAGCTAAAATCTATTTTGAAAAGTGATGAGAAGCTCATGCTTCTGGGCCCTTTTGATCCCTACTTCTTGACGTGGATCAACTTTTCTTTGGGAAGAGAGGCCCCTGCGTGGCTTTGGAGCCAGTACTGATATCAGCACAATCAGAACATAGCAAACAGAGTCCAAGTTGGAGGTTTTCTCTGCAGACCGGGGACGTGTGGGATCCAAGAGGCCATCTGTGCACTGAGCATCTGTTACTTACAGGGGGCCTCACCCCCGTGCCGGATGCACATGGACATGAATGCGGTTAGTGACTCGTGTCTTTAATGATGAGATTACTGACTTATTGGTGGCCTTTGCTATTACAGACTGAATCAACAGATAGTGAAACATGCCTATTACCATACCTGGCATAGAGTAAACCCTCAGTAATCACATGCTGAACAAATACAGGTTCCTTTTTCTTTCTTTCTTTTTTATTAAAAAGGATCTGTGTTCTTGAAAAGGTCCTGCTCTTCCTCCTATCCCAAGAGTCCTCCGATTTGCCATGAGATGGTCCCCAGACTCTCCTTGCAGAGGTTCCCCTTCTCTGCATGCACAATACTGTCTTTCTTCAGAACTGTGTCTCTTCCCAAAGCATGATGCCACGTGTCCCCCGTGGGACCTCCACCGCAGCACTGCTAAGACTCTCAGGGTGTGGGGGACCCGCCTGGCTGGGTGGTGGGGACAGGGCAGATGAGCTGATGCCAGGCCCTGGTGGAGATGCCTGGAGAGCTGGCGGTTGATGCTCAGCTTCCCAAAAAGGACCATTTGGATAAACAGCAGAGGAGGCCAGGATAAGCACTGAACCGGGAGTCACAGTGCTGGGTTCTAGTTCCAGCTTTTCTGCTTCCCATGTGGTTTTGGCAAATCAGTAATGTCTTTGGGCCAGTTTCCTCATCTGAGAGATGAGGTGAGCCTACTGTGTCTGCGGCACAGAGGAACACTGAGCAATAGGACCTCGTGATGGTGACATGTGGGGAGGGTGACTTGGTAATCACCGCTCCCATCCTCCCACCAGGGGCGTTGTCTCACGGCACAGACACTCATGTCTACCTTGGGTTCTTCCTAGAGGCTGAGGCAGGTCATCCCCAAACTTGCAAAAAATATCATGGAGGCTCTTAAGGCCAACGTATTGGAAATTGGACCTGACTGAGGAGGAGATCGGGGTAACTACAACCTGCCAGGGTTTTTGCCATCACTTCTGGTCCTGCCCTGTGGCCAGTCTGGGTTTTCTGTAGCAGAAAAGATGTCAGGTTGTCTCTGCACCCCTAGGCAGAGAAAGGGCCAGTTCTCTGACTTTATCCGTCTTCCTAAGGGAACTCCTAACCCAGCATCTGGCCTGCTCTCATCCGTAGTGAATGGGGCCTCCTTAGGCCCAGCAGAGACATGGGTCGGACTCTGAGATGCTGGGAGTGCTGCCTTTTACAATTTCAAGAAACTGAGATGCCCTCGGGGTTCACCTGGATGAATGCTGAGCCTCTGAGGGTGAAGCTCTCTATGCCACACAGTGGGGGGTCCTCCCTCCAGGGCTCTCTTTTCTTATCCATAGCACCTCGGGTACATCCTAAATACTCCAGTTTCTTTTTACAGTAGAACTACAAGGTCGGGATGTCCGGTGTTATTATCTCTACTGAGAGATGAGGTCAGTGGGTTTGCAGTGAGTGGATGGGACCCGGCCCCCAGGTTATTTGACTGAGTTAGTGACACAGCTGGACTGAAAGTCCCTCTCCAAGTTTGTCTTGAGCTTAGTGTTCCAGTGTCAGGAGGCCATAAACAGGGAGTCAGGCTATAGAAGCCATCGCATAAGCCCTGTACAAACCCCTGGGGCTGGAGCACAACCATGCCCCCACCCCTCCGTCCCAGCCCAAACCCGCACTGGAGCCCAGAGGCTGCCTTCCCACCTCCCGGCTCCCATCGGGAATGCTGCTTCCCAGGATGCTGCCTGGGTCTCCATGCCCACCCGGGGCTCCCCCTCTTCCCACTCACTGGGCGAGGGCGTGTCTCCCGGAGGAAGGACTTGAGGTCTCCACCTGCCATGAGCTCCAGAAGGATGAAGCGGGGCAGGGCTTGCAGACTCACCCCGATACAGCGCACAATGTTCTGGTGGTTGAATTTGCTGCAGGCAGATGGGGTGCAACCAAGTTTAACTAAGTTGAGTCTCGGGACAGACCATCGTAAATGAGAGAAGCAGGAGGCAGAGTCCTGCTCTCAGTAGCCATGCTGTACAGATGCATCCTGTAGATATGGGCAGTGCCATCCTGGCCAAGCCGGCTGCCAGGCAGGACCCAGGCCAGGCTTTCTAGGAGGTTGGCATACAGGAGAATGGGGTGGCAGGTGTGTGTGTGTGTGGCCTATCTTTTAGATATCGCTGCATGAATTTTTGGTTGAGTTCTCTGAGGAAGGCCTTAGACAAAAGCTAAGAAGCTTCTTAGGGACTTTGTGAGACCCACAGGTGGCAGCATGTGACACAGAGCCAAGAAGAGGGGACAGGCTCAGTGGTCCATGCTGTTGCCAGTAGATTGCTCATGGGCAGGGACTGAGTTGGGACAGGAGAACCCAAGTGTTGAGTGTTCTTGTCAACATGCTCCTAGGAGTACGTACAGGGCAGTGAGGCCAGGATACTTCACGTGGATGCACAACACACACGCATATGCACACCCCACACCACACCCACACATCCCCCACATACACACACATAATATGAACACACGTGGAGTTGAGAGACTGGGAGAGTATTAATGGCTAATTATTGGCAAATAGTGAGACTGAGTGAGTTGGCTTCCTTCCAAATAATCTTAACTTTCCAAGTTGCATTCAATAATCATGCATGATGTATATAATCAGAAAATAAATGTTAATTTTAAATCAAGATGTTCTTGTTGCATATTCCCCTGGGTATCTAGAGGCCACAGGCACCTTACCCACACTACTCCACCACCAGGGGGACACCCAAGCCACCTCCCCTCTCAAGGTGTTCGATGGCTTCTGGAGGCCCTGAGCCCACCAGATATTGAGGAAAAACACCTGCCTCTTCTCTAGGGGATGGGTTGTCAGAGTAACCGCCCTCAGGGACCTCAAAGACAGATTCTCAGCCAAGCCTTCCCATGGTGGTGGACATGGGTGGGGTGGCCCCGTCATATTAGGGGCAGGATTCCTTCACACTAACAACCTGGTTCGGACAAAGGGCGTTGGTTCTGAAAGAGTCACTCAAAGAACAAAGCCCAGTGAGTGATGTCAGGGACACAGGCCGCAGACGATGACGGCAGTCTGGCTATCAGGCCCCACTGGCATTTGCTGAGACAACCACTGGGGGTTTCCACTTTGTAAGATGTGTCCTGAAGAACAGGGGCTCTCCTCGGGAAGCCCAGTCCCCTTGGAGATATTATGTATCTGTCTGTTAGAAGCATCTCTGTGCTCTTTGGGAGGCGGGGCAGCAGCTGCGGGGTCTCTGGCTTTACCTGATGATCAGAGCTTCCATGAGGAAGTCGAGCTCGTCCTGTTCAGAGCACACTTCCGGCAGCGTCTGGCACAGAGGGGAGATGGGAAGAAGGCAGCCATGAGCTGAGAGCCGCAGGCTACAGAGAGACCCAAGGCCAAGGCCAGGCCAAGAGGAAGCCACTTCTCACCTTCACGGCCACTTGCAGGGGGCTCGGATCGTTGGGCATCCCAGACACCTGGCCTTCATACACCTCGCCAAATGCACCGTGGCCCAGACCCCTGCACAAAGAGAAGACGAAACAAGGCAGAGTCAGGAGGCCGACAGGAAAAGGGGCCCTGGGATCCTGGGTGCAGAGGCCAGGCTGACATACAGCTTGCGAGCAGTACTGCCCACTGGCCTTGCCTTGCAGCTGTGGGCCCTCATTTCTTCCTCTGAAATCCAGTAAGGAATCTGCTGAGGTTTGACTGCATCCGCTAAGGTTCGTGTGTTGAAAATGAATCCCACTGTGAAATCCCGAGGGCAGCTTCATTCAGCTCTGGTGTTCAGAGCTGGGATCTTAGGGAGGAAATTAGGGTTACATCGGCTTGTTAACATGGGATTCCACGACTGAACCCTGGTGGAGACCAGAGCACACAGACACCCTCACACTGCCTGCCCCTTGCTGGGTGACACCCAACTGTCTCCACCAGCAAGAAGGCCACTGCCAGATGCAGCTCCTTGCCCTCAGGAACTGGGAGTTGAAACAAAATACTTTTCTTTATAACTCACCCAATTAGGGGTATCGTTAATGGCAACATATAATGGGTCAGTGTAGGTCCTAACAGGCTCCATGACAATGTTCAAACATTTATTCACTCAGTGAATAGGTGGTGAGTCTGTCTCAGGGACAATGGCACAGCACTGGTAGATGCTTGCTGTGGGTGTCACAGTGGATGACAGAGGAATGTACGGTGTGCTCTAAATGCTAAATGAGGTATACTCAGCCCCCACCCCCACTAATATGGGGGAGGGGCCAGAAGTCTTCCGAGATGGGGTGCTTAGAAGGCCTGGTTTTCACTTGGAGTCCTCCCCTCATTGCATGAACTCCTCAGTATGTAGGGTGTTAAAATAAACCAACACCCCACATGGCCCTGAACACTAAACCTTATCCCCTTGGGTAGACTGGGGCCAGCCCAGCGTTGGCTCTGCTGGCTTCTTGTGGCTAGAGGAGTCCATGGTCCTGGAATGGCACCCAGCTCCCTGGGCCACCCCTCCGGCCCTACCCCCACTCACCGAATGAGGGTGATGTTTTTCCGGGGCACCTCTTTTAGGTCACTGATGGAGGAGGTCTTGCCAGCAAAGCAGTAGTTGGGATTGTAGTCAGTCATGATGGTGGAGGTGCGCAGCTTGCTGAGCTTGTACTCAGGGCTCTGCAGCTCCATCTGCATGGCTTGCAGCTCCTGGTGCTTGCGTCGGTACACTGCAGACGGATGGAGGCCCTGCTGCCCCACCAGGACCCGTGGCCACTAAAGCCCACGTGGGCTGAGAGTGAGGTCCCAGGAGTGTGAGTGTGTGTGGGGCTTTAGCCCTCGTGTCAGCCACCAGGAGCAGCCTGGGCTGAGACTTAGGATTGGGCTCCCGAGGGACTCTGTAGGTGTTCTGGGAGTGGAAGGTTGGGAGCTTCGGTTCCAGCTTGACCTGGTCTGCCCTAGTGACCACCCCATCCCATTCCAGGGATGAGAATACAGAAGGACACCTTGGCATCCATGGTGCCGCCCAAGACCCTGTTCATCTCTGCTAGATCTGTCCCTTTTGGAAGCCCTGGGGCTCTGCTACACTCACCTATCATGATGCCAGAGAAAGCCAGGACAAGGGCGGCCACCAGGGCAGAGGTCACCACGGAGAGGATCAGCGAGAGAGGCAGGTGGGGTTCTGGGGTGGGCGACACTGGAAGACAGGTCCCGACAGGGGTTCACCACCGAGCTGATTCTCTCCTGAGCCAGTCTTCCCTCACTGAGTCAGGACAAAAGCCACCTGCCACTTCCCATCCCTGAGTTCTCAGGGGTCCCTGGGCACAAAGCAGGTGCACTCTGTTCCACAGTTTCATGACAGTGGCTTTGGGCCGGAGGGAAATTTTGACAAGAATGAACATCGGCTCTGGGTGTTCTAATATTGCCATCAACTGCTGAGCATGGCACAGGGCTGAAAGGCGCAGCAGAGGGCTCTGGGGACTGAGGGGACACCACACTCCCATGACCCAGGCACGGAGCATGCCCTGGTAACACAGGAATTAGTTCCTGTAGCCCCAAGGCCTCAGCCCAGGGGAAGGAGGGCAGGGCCCCCTGTGGCCTCTGTGAGTGGCTCATCAGGCATCTTGCTTGCTATGGGACACTGGGCATCAAAAGCCACACAGATGCTTAGAACAAGGGACAGGAGGGCCACCAGGTTGGGGTGCAGGCACACAGCTGTATCATATGAGCAGAATGAGTGAGCTTTGTCACCCGGAGGACAGGTTAAAGAGGATGGGACTCTCTCATCAAAGCTTCACTTGAAAGGTGGTAGCCAGTTAGGAACCCTGAGAGGAAGCTCAGAAAACAGAAGGTTCCAGTGCCTTAGGAGGGCCAGGGTACCTGCCTCTGGGCGTCTGAGTGCAGGTGAGAAGGCCTTTGGTGGAGTCAGAGGGTTTGTGCCCCAGGGAGTGGTGGGACTCCTTCAGGATCTATGCCCCAACTTTCCCCAACAGCCAGAGCGCGGCTGGGAAGGGGCTGGATACTGACACCCAGCAGAAGGTGTCCCTGAGCCTCTGAGAGCAGCCCTGGGACTCTGGCCTCACCCCTCCCTGCCCCCTCCCATTGCCACCCCCTTACCAATGCAGGAGACTCCATCCTCAGCCAGCACCGTCCCATGGTCACAGAAGCAGATGACCTTGTGGCTCTCAGGGTCCATGTGACATTCGTCTACCTCACAGTGACTGCAGTTTAGGTAATGCTTAATATTCACTTCCCCATGGCCCTCCATCACTGGTGACAAGGAGGGGGGTCAGTCGTAGGCTAGGTCTACACCGCACTCCCTGCCCTGTGCTTTATGCCCACCTGCTCACTGTGGGTTCCTGGTCCCCTATTCTAGGGCCCATCGTCAGTGGAAACAGCTCTGTGAAGCCTTCCCATGCGGCCAGCGGGTGTGTGCATGGGGGAGAGACCCCCCCTGCAGGACCCTGAGGCTGCCTGCTGAACTTTCTAGGGCTGGCTCGCCTGTCTGGTTGCCCACCTCTCTGTCCACATTAAGCCACACATCCTGGCTTCCCGGAGACATGGCGGGATGAGCTGAGGGATGACCTGCCTGCAAGGGGCCCAGGAGTCTACTCTGTGTCGGGGGCACGTGTCAGTAACTCTGAGGTTCAGCTTGGTGGGAGAATTAGCCTGAGGAAGTTTGCTCTACCACCCAGCAGAGGGAGGTACCTTTTAAAGCTGGGGTGTACAGGATGCCCAGGGGGCTGATGAAGGAAACCCCATCTTCCCCGTCCATTTCAGGGTCATTGTTGGAGGCTGCATTGCCACCTGCAGCAAATCAAAGCAGAGTTGAACACAGAGAGATGGAGGCCAAGTCTCAACACACATGCGCGTCAGCGGGGCATGCAGCTCTGGCCGAAGCCAGGGGTCACGGGGACCTTAGAGGACAGGTAGGTGGGGAGGGAAGGGAGACCCAGGGCACAGGGGCTGTCCGTGGGTCTCGGCTCAGTGGACACAGGGGGAATGGGACACTTTCCTCTTCGGGTTGGGGTCTTTCCTCGGGATAATCTCTGCAGCTCTGCTGTCCCCAGGAGGAAGTGGTGGGCATGAACAAGAGTCCCTAAATTCTGGTCTCCTTAGGCCGGGTATACCCTTGGGCCACTTCCAGGACTGGCCTGGACAGCAGCTCTGAGAAGCCATTCACTAGCCTGGTTACACTGGGTGGGGTTGGGGCGTGGCAGGGCGTCCAGCCCCTGTGCCTTCAGGCTCCTGTCCCTCCTTTCTTTCGGAGGTGGGTTATCTTTGGGCCCCCTCCCTGGGCTCCCCCCCACCCAGGGCATGTGGTTAACACAAGCATCTCACAAGCATCAAAGCAAACACAGACAAGAACATCACAGTGCAAGCATGCAGTGTGTCCTAATCTACGGGAGGGTGGAGCCACCTTCTCAGCTTCAGAAGGCTCTTCAAGGGGATGGGGTGGGGGTGGACAACAGCAGGCTGCCTGCTGAGGGCTGGGCTGGGGCTGCCCACAGTGGCCCTCAGGAACGCTCCTCTGGGAGCAGGTGGGCTGGGCTGGGGAGGGAGAACGAGGAGCCTGGGAAGGTGCCAAGGGACCCAAGCCCAAAGGCAGGTGCGGGGCTGGGGGAGTCTGGCTTCCATGGTCCTCAGACCTGTGAGCCCTTGCAGTGGCTCTGAGAACAGTCTGGGAAGCCGGAGCCTTTGAATCTTTGGCTCTGGGGATCACAGATCACATGGGATTTTGATGCTGTTGTCAAGGGAGCCCAGAGGCAGGATGCTGGCTCGGGAGCCAACACCCTGCCTCTGGATGGCCCAGCCAGGCTGAGGGGAGCGTGCAGTTACATCACAGGACCACAGGCCACACTGGTGGGCCAGGGAGGGCTGGGGAGGGAGGGGAGGGGAAGGGAGGGATGCCTAGGACTAAGGGTGGGGAGTGACACCTTGAACACGAATCATCTTTACCTATATATCCTCCGCCTCCTCCACCTGAGGAGCACCCCCCGCCACCCCCTCCGAAACCCCCTCTTGTCTCCCACCCCCACTTCTTCATGGCCTGGGGGCAGGCATGTCCTCCAGTAGCGCCCTCCAACAAAGATTTTCCGGCCCAGAGCAAGGAAGTGTTATCATCCCAGCCACCTCCACCACCTGCAGGGAGAGAGGAAAGAACGTGTCCCTGAGGACACTGGTGAGGTGGGGAGCAGGAAGCGGGGTGCTATGAGGGATGCCCTCTCCTGCTCCAGGTCCTGGGGGCTGTCTTTAGTGGGGGCCAGGAACTCTAGAGTACACACCTGGAGAGCCAGGCAGGGTGCTAGGTCAGGAGTCTGGGGAGGCGAGGCAGGAAGCTCCCTAGGTCCTAGCTCCTTCCTCCCTGCCTGCTGATCCCCTAAGGCATCACACCGTCTATTTGGTGACTGCTTCCGTTCTTTTTTTTTTTTTATCGGTACCTGGGATGGAACTCACAACTGCCTGCTTGCAAGGCAGGTGCTTATGCCACTGAGCTAAATCCCCAGCCCCAACTTTCTTAGCAAGAACTGGAATCCAGCCAGCTTTCAAAGGCCTGCAGAAGTCACAGCACTAAAGCTTCTTGCTCGAATCCAGGACCAGGCACCAAAAGCCCTGTAAGCTTTACTGTCTGCCAGCTGTGAAGCCCTGGGGGTGAGCATCTCTAACCTGGGTCTCAGGTTTCTCACCTGCAGCTTGATAATAACAAGAAACACTTTATGGGATGTTACAATTGAGAGAGATAGGGAGAAGATAGGGGAGAGGAGGGAAGGAGAGAGAGAGACAGAGACAGAGAGACAGAGAGAGAGAGACAAAGAGAGAGACACAGAAGAGAGACAGAGACAGAGAGGCAGAGAGACAAAGAGAGAGACACAGAGAGAGAGACACACAGAGAGACAGAGACAGAGACAGAGACAGAGACAGAGAGACAGGCTCTACCAACCACCATGCATCAGGACCAACATGAGTCTGGGGGAACCTTGTTTGCAGGTGGCCTTACTCCCGGGCTCAGCCTGTTCTGGGTGGCCCGACACTAACGCTTGGGCGTTTCTCCACGAGTAGAGCAGCCCTGGGAGGTGCTGGAGGATTCCCCAGCGACAGCGGTAGCCACTAGAGCGGAGCTGCTTTGAGCCAAAGGGAACATGGCCGCAGCTCTGAGGCTGAGCGGCTATGGCTAACCACACAGACCTGTCCTGCCCCTCCTCCCTTCCTGTTCATGCAGCATTTCCAGATGTCTGCTCCCAAAGACTCTAGAAGATGAGAGCGGTGGGGCCTGGAGACCAACCTTGGTCTGGAAGGGTCTTTTGGTTGAGGTTCTTGGACCCAGTGGGGGCAATAGAGGGACATGTGGGTGGAGAAGCATCAGAGAGGGACAATTATGTGCTAGGAGGAGTCAGCCAGGTTTAGAAAATAAAGCCTGGATCTCCATCAGGGCCATCAGGGCTGAGTGAAGACCTCAGGCTATGGGGGTTTGGTCAGTGGTGGGCGCTCCTGGGCTGGGGCGCCCAGCACGGGCTGCACACGGCTGACAGGCAGAGGAGCCTCCAGGTGCTGGAGTCCTGCTGGCCCCCTCTCCTCTGATGTTGGTACCAGCAGCAGAGCTCCCAGCGTCTCTGGGTTAGGGACAATGATGCTTTCAGGTGCCTGATGGCATGGGCATGAGCGAAGGCCATGCAGGGCCTGGGAGACCGGGGGCTTTACCTGCGGCTCCGGAATTGCCGTTCAGCCCCAGAACCGAGGAGTTATTCTCCAGTCTCTCTGGGTGGAACGTGTCTGTCTTGGCCCCGTAGGCCCTGCCACCGCCACCGGCTGCAATGATGAGGGGCACGGGCACTCCGTCCTTCATCTGGCCAGGGGAGACATCCAGAGAGCGGGAAGCTGAGCGAGCATCCACTCTGCAGACCTCAAGGGCTGGTTTCAGTGTTTAAGCCTGATCAGCTGCAGCACCATGGGGTGATCTTTTGGCCTGGGGTGGTTTGAGGACCCTAAACGCATGTTCCCATCCCTCACCCCAATTTCTGTATGAGTCGGGGTTTGAGTGCAGAAGTGAAACCACTAGGGGGGGGGGTCTGGGCAGCCTCTTTCCTGATGTCCCTCAGACTCGCTGTGGAGCCCACATGCTGCGGATTAGAAGCAGCTGGCTTGCTCCCTCCTGTCTACTCTTAGGCATCTTGAGCTGTGGCCCCCTGAATTTCAAGACCAAGCCCTTAGTAGCGCTGTCCCCATGGGAGTACTGCTTTTAGTTTAGGGCCAGGCCAGTAATGGACGAGGGACCCTCTGGAGCCCTGAAGCAGTCCTGGCGTGGGGAACCTGGGCTGGTCCATAAGAAAGGAGTGATCATTCTTGAGCAGACTGTATTTCCTTCTGCGTCTCAGCTTCTTATCTCTAAAAGGGGCCAGAGCGGCTCATGGCTTCCACCCAGGCTGTCCTGAGGCTCTGAGGTTACGGCACACAGAAATCCCTGCCGCAGGAATCTGACCAAAGGGACCTCACCTTAAACACGTAGGTGGCTCCACCCCCTCCTCCGCCTCCTCCTGCCCACTCATGCACGCTTCTGTTCACGCGAATTTCTTCTTCTATCACATTGCTCTCTCCAACACAGACTTTCTGGATTAAGTGGTTTGTCTGTAGAAACAAAAACATTAAGTTTGTGCCCTAACTAGTGTTAGTTATACACCTTGCAAACAGACCTTGTGTGCTTAAAGATAGGATCTAACTACGTCTGAAATAGCACATGATTAAACTGAGAAAGCACAAAAATATACACAAATGACTTCACTGTCAGTGATATGAGGAAAGGACTTAGGGACAGCGTGGACATGAAATGTCATGAGAAATGGGGAGCGGGGAGGAGGCTTTACTGCTGGTCGGTGGTTGGCGACAGCTTTTCTAGGCTGAGTGGAAAGGACAGGGAAGGTTTCTAGCACACACAGTGAGGGAGTTAGATCATTCCAGGAGAAGGCAGCACGAGCCCAGATGGCAGGAGGTGAGCAAGATGTTTGGAGAAAAGCAGTAGGTCTCTCGCTCACCTTTGGAGAGAGAGGTGACCCAGAAGGACCTGCCAGGGTCCCGCAGACTCTAAAGAGGTGATGACAAAGGCCTGATGAGGTGAGAGAGGGCCAGGGGTGGACATCAACCAGGGAAGGCAGAGGGATATAACTTCATGGTCACATCATGGCAGGAGGCGTTGGATACAGTGGGAGGAGCTGGACTTCATCCCTGGGCAGTGAAGAGCCACTGAGGTTTTGGAGAGGATGTGGCTGTGAAGCAGCCCAGGAGAGGTCCCGCCTTGGGACCCGAGTCAGGTGTCTGGTATACTGTCTCACACCTGTAGCACCCGGATAGGTGGCTGTTGTTATTATTCTACTTAGATTCATTTTGGGACCTCACAAACAGAATCGGGGATCTGGGAATCCCTGGGACTGTGCCGGACATTTCTGTAACGTAGCATTCTAGAATCTCTTAATAAAGAAGCCAGTGTCTCAAAAATAGCTACCTGCTTGCCAGCCACAGCGGCTCAGATAAATTTTCTAAACATCAGCCTGACCTCAGAGGAAAATTACTTTTCTTTCACTTAATGGAAGAAAAGCCAATAAAATATCAAATTTCCATCAAATGTTGCTATGTAGCCAGCCAGTGGACACAGCCATTCATCTTGGGCCACTCCTTATGCTGAAGCTTTCAGGGGTGCTGGCAATGAATACTAGAGAAATTTCCAGATAAACAGCTGAGATGCAATTTGTTCTATGGCATTTTGGATTTAATGATGGAAATAATTTGGCATTTTTCAGAGTGGACTTAGTGTGGATGAAAGACTCTGAATTGCTACAACAGAGCGCTAACGTTTCTCTGGTGCTCATGCAGCACTGCCCGGGCCAGGAGAGGCAGCGGGAAGGAGGCACCGCTCATGGTGGGCTGGGAGAGGGATGGGCTGCAGGGCCACGGCCTGGGGCTGAGAAGGAGCAAGGGCGGAGGGATGTGGGGGCATTAGCAGGGCAGAGAGCACAGCACCCAGCTGGGTTCTGGATGGCTCTAGCCAGAGATCTTCTGGGCCCCATGGGGCGAGGCACCTCGTGTCCCTGGACTTGCCTCTCTCTCTGCCCGTGCAGCCTGCTCTTCATCGTGCACTCAGCATTGGCCTTTGGGCACGCATATCTCATTGTGTCACTATTGAGTCCCACACCCTCCTGTGGCTTGAACACATCCTTAGGTGTCGCGATCCATTTCCATCACCTGGACCACATCTCTTACCTACCCTTCTGCTCCCTCTCCTGCCTCTCCCAGGTGCACAGGCACCCTCCCACCTCAGGGACTCGGCCTTTTCCAGGTTGGCTCTTTTCCCCAGATATCTTCTTCCTCTCCCTGCTTAAATGTAAGTTCCTTGCGGGCAAAGACCTTTCCTTGGTTCACAAAACTGGCTGGCATGAGCAGTGGTTCTCACACATGGACCAGTGGCTAGCACGTGGAAGGCACCCAACACCTATGTTCTGAGTAAGTGTGAACGAATGGAGAGTCGTCTGGCTTGTGGGTTGGCCCTTGACAGTATGTGCCTAGCGGGTGAGGTAGGTACTGATGGTACTTAGCATAACTTAAGACCAGCACTTATGTTCCCTATGGGGCATTTGGAAATATCTGGAAGTATTTTTTGATGGCTATTTCTGCAGGACACTATGGGCATCGAGTGAAGAGAGGACAGAGACTCTGACAAACATCCTGTGATAACACAGAACTCTATCCCTACCAGTGGTACCTCTGTTGACAAAGTCTAATTGAGACTCAGGCCAGCAGATGAGGTCCAGAAGGAACCGTAGGAGCAGGAACTAAGTGAGTGTGTGTGTATGTGTGTGCATGTGTGTGAGTGTGTGTGTGGGGGGCGGGCCAGTGTGCAGGAGCTGAGCCTGCGCCATGCACAGTAGCTCAGGAGTGGCCCCCACACAGGAAGAGCAGTTCCTGTAACAGATGCAGCTGAACCAGAAAAGCTGCCATTTCACTCCTAGAGTGCATGCAATTCTCTTGAGATCATCTCTAGATACCAGTTTTCTAGACATCCTTTTGTGATGACTGGGGGGGGGGGTTAGAGGTGTGGACCAATCAGAGAAGACCAATTTTTTTCCCCATCTGCAAAGGCTATGCCTGGTCCGACCAGCAGAGGGGGCTGTGCTCTATCCTTGACTGAGGATCACCGGGTTCTGCCAGTCTGGGAACTCACCCTGCACACCTACAATATTTGCGAGCATATAGGTTGATTAATAAAAATGATAAAGTGCAGCAGGAACAAGCAGATTACAATTGAATTAAAAAAGACACGGTCATCTGAAAAGACATAACTGATTACAATCCAATCAAGTGAAAGTCCCTCGCAGAAGTCCATGCAATCTTTCTGCTTATATGAAAGAATTACATCAGCACTCAATAAATTCCTGTAAAAATTACAGCAGCCTGTAATTTAATGGCTTAATATAATGTAACGGGTTGGAAAGTCTTGATTGTAGTTGCTAAATAGAACTTGGAATGGAGATATTTCTTTGCAGGAAGTTGCACCTGCCAAGTTTTCTCCTGCTGGTTTGTCTCACGCAAACCACGCAGGGGAGGAAGGCTGAGCGGCATTCCCTCTTGTCTACCGTCTCTGTCTCCTGGTCTGGCTCTTAGGAGTTCTGAGTTTATTTTGTGGACTTAAACTGCTTTCTCTATAGTCCCTGTCTCCTGTCTGTCCCCTCAGGCTGCTCTCAGATAAGTCCCTGGAGAAGGAGCTGCCATGGCCCCTGGAACCCAGCTCCTTTCTAGGGTCCTCACTGCAAGCGAAGCTGTGCTCCCCATGAGGCTGAGTCCTGCTGAAACCAGGACATGCGCCCTACAGGAGACTGAGTTCTGGCCAGCACGCCCAGGGCCCTGGCACCTCCAACACAGGCCAGAGACAAACAACTGTGGTGCTTAGGGTTTGCACGGTGGCTGCTGCTTAGTTCCTGCTGCCTCCTCCTGGGCGGCAGGGCTTGCTCAGCAATAGACTGTAAGTGGAAATGGGTTAAAGGCTGTAGAGACCAGGGGCCTAGTAAGTACAGGGCATAGCAAAAACAGGAGTCACTTGGTGAGGGACCCTAGACAAGTCCCTTCAGCTCTGCCTTCTCTACTTTACTCATTTCTAATGAAGGACCTGAATTTCACAGGACTGTGGCTTTCAGAATATGCTTTGATAATTTTTTTTCTTCTTTTGTACCAGGGATTGAACTCATGACCTCACACTTGCCAGGCAGGTGCTTGTGTCACTGAGCTAAATCCCCAGTGCTTTGCTATTTTTTTTAAAAAAAGTTTAAATTGCACACATAATAAGTAATACATGAAAGCATTCTTTTTGTAAAATTTTTAGACATTATTGATAAAGTACTCCCAATCCAGAGCCTCCCCAGAAGTAAACACTAATATGTACTATAGATCTTTCATAATTTTTTCTGTGCATTTATGTATGTCTGCGTGTGGCCAGAGGTCTGGGATTTTGAGCTGAATAGAAGTGTTTAACCTGACATTTTCCAATTTATAATAACATAATTAAAGACAATAGTGTCCTAGCAAGAAAGTTCAGGAAATGAGTTTTAACTCATATTCTGCTGAAAAGAATAGACACTGGTCTGTTTAAAGAAAATTCAGTCCTTCAGTTTTAAAGGTTACTCGTGAAACCACCACTTTGTCCTTGGCCTCTGTGGAGTTGTAACTTTCTCTCGCGCCTCTGTGGCCTGGGGAAAGGGGAGCCGCTGGCGGCTCAATCTAGAAGCAAGTCCTGTGGACTGTGGATGTGAATGAACCCCCCGAAGGAGTGTGCCTGGTGCTGGCATCCTTCAAGAAGCCTCCCCACACTGGATGAGTGTGGAACACAAATCCTTGCTCCGAGCACTTACGCTGGGGCAGGCGTCCTCTCCCTGCTGCCCGACGAGGATGTAGAGCACGTCGTCCTTCTCCAGGTTGAAGATGCCCAGCACAGACACTCCATGGGACCGTATCATGGTGTTCTTCCCGCCTTTCCCGCCGGCAGCACCATAGCATGAGATGCTGTAACGGACAAAGCACAGTGGACCCAGCAATGGCATGAAGATGGAACCCCTTCCTGCCAACCCGGAGGCTTCTGTGAGGCCACACACCACCGTGTCTGAGGATGCTTGTCCACTGTCAGGAGTGTGTGCTCAAGTTTAGTGAGGGCCAGGGGGTCAGCTGCCTTAGTCATAGTGCCAGACGGTCAGTGGCTAGTAAGGTGCTAGAGAGAGAGAGAGAGAGAGAGAGAGAGAGAGAGAGAGAGAGAGAGAGATGGAGAATTGGGGCTGGGTGTGTCTCTAATCCCAGCACTCAGGAGACTGAGGCAGGAGGATTGCAGTGTGTTCAAGGCCAGCCCAAAATACACAGTGAGACTCTGCTTCAAAAGCAAATAAACAAAAAAAAAAAAAAAAAAAAAAAAAAAAAAGAGTGTGGACAATGGTCTCCCAAATGCTTAGGATTCACCCATTGTGGAATTGCCAGTCCAGTATCAAGGAACCCGTGTGACCTTAGACAAGCAACATAACCTCTCTGTTCAGCAGTACAGGGCAGACAATAGGGGACCCATCCCCTACTCAACAAGTACTCTGAAGCTGAGTGGAATCCACGTAAGAATTGTGGCCAACAGAAAACAGGCCCTCGGTGCACACTCATTATCGTGCTGTGAATGGGGTAGTAGCAGTAATTGACTTGGTACAAAGCTTTCCATCCTCCCAGGGGGTCTGGGAATGAGGAGGTCCCACATGCCACGGCCAAGGAGAACATGTTGATGAACACAGACTGTTTACTCCCTTCCCACCAGCAACTCCTTCTGGAGCAATCTGTGTGCAGACAACAAACAGCCAATCATGACGAGAATAAAAACAGAGCACGGGACGAGGGAATATTATCTGCTGCTGCTTAGACTGTCAAGATGAAGTCAAGCGCGGATGGAGCGGGGAGGAGAGAATTCTCTTTGCGAACCGTGTCAGAAGAGCAGCATGTCTTGAAGGAGCCAGCATACCAGCTAGCAAATGCTAACAAATGCCTCCCCAGGGAGCAGCTGCCAGCGAAAGGGACTTGGGAGGATGTTTATGTCCCCATGTATCAGATCCCTTTTCTAAAAATCTAGCAAGAGAGACAGAAGACAGTTTTGCCCATGTGCATACACGCTGGCTTTTCCACTCACATTCTGGGAAATGCCCCATGTTCTGAGCAGAGAAGGGAGCTCTGGCAGCTCTCCCAAGGCAGAATGCAGGCCCTCTGTAGGGCCAAGCCTGGGACCTGCTGCTTGCTAATACACAGGCAAGGTCCTGGGAATTGCAGGGAATTGCAGACCTAGACGCTTGCACCCAGGGTCCTTGTGTGGGCTCAGGCCCTAGCAGGAGCTTATTAGATGTCAGGCAGGGCATCAGCCTGGATGGACAAGAGGAGGACTGAGGTAGGATCCAGGCCCTGGAAGGGTTTAAGAAGAAACTGGGCAAATGTTCACAGTTATGCAGCGAAATCTTACCACCAGGGCGGCTAAGTAGAAGGGAATTTCCAGGGCTCCAAGATTGGAGTAGACCACTTCCTACCACCGAGTCCTCTCAGGGGGCCCAGCCTTTTCCCTGACAAGAGAGGTGTCTCCTGAGTCCTCTTTTCCAAACTCATATGGTGGTTCAACATCAGAAAGAGATACTGGCAGGGAAGCTCGAGGCCACGGAACATTTCTGTGGGTCATCAGGTGCTCATGGCCGGAGTGGACTGGAGGACTGTGACAGGCGCTGGGGTCTTCGCCTGTGGGGTTGGGGTGGGGCCGGAGGGCTGAGGTTGGCCCTGTGGTAGAGCTGTCAGATGGGCAGACTCTCAGACAAGCAGAAGGGGGCAGAAGGTGGCAATCAGGGCTCAAGTGCCCAGAAGTGAGGAGGCCGGGGGCCTCGGGATTTCCCCTGCAGCAGGCAGAGGAGTGGGCAGACTTGGTTGTAGGTTTAGGGAGGGAGGTGGGGCTTCCCCCATGGGGCCCACATCAGACACGCTCACATGCGTGTAGCATTCCGCACAAACACGTATGCATGGTAGATGTTACTAATTTCATTCGACGGATGAAGAAACTGCTGCTCAGAGAGGTTAAGTGCCTCAATCTGAAGCCACACAGCCAATGGTAGACTCTGGTCCAAATCCACACATCTCCTGTCCTGTCTGCACTTGGAGGCTTCTACAAATTCTCACAGAGGGGAGCCTGAGAAGACCCCGATTCACCCGATTTCCTCAGAGCCTGCGTCAAGCACTCGCTCCTGACTCACTGGAAACGGACGAGGTGATAACTGCAGAAAAGATAACTTACAGTGCAAAGGAAGAGGAAGTAGAATTATTCAGCTCAGACCAGAGAACCCCAAGCAGGGTACTGTGGCAATGGTGGCTTCCAGAGAATGGGCAGTCTTGGGACAGAAATGCACAAGAGCCTCATCTCTGTTCTCCCTAACTGTAACTCCAGGATTCTGGGGCTTGATCAGGCTGCACAAAAAATATCATTTCAACCTGAAGGTGGGCTTTGCTTAGAAAACTTCTGCCTACTTGCGTGCCCGCTCCTGCGTATGGCTGAGCGGTAAGCTTTATCCTGCTCCTTCCTTTCTGCATCATTTGCACAGTCATTTGCATAGATCTGCATTCATTATGAATCATTCTGAACTCTTTCACATGTTTAAATTTAGCCAAATTATTATATTTTGGAAGTTATTTGTGCCTGACTTTTCCCTAAGTTTTCTTTCCCTATATTTTCCCCCAACCCTCAGCCAGACTTGGATGCCAGCTTGCTCTCTGCTTTGATCCAGTTCTAGGTGGTGAGATGGGGTAGGAAGAGCTCTGAGCTTCCAGCCAATGCCAGCCTAGTCCTGCCGGGCTGGCTGTGTGATCTGAGACTACTTGGTCAACCTCTCAGAGCCTCAACTTCCACTACTAAGGAAGAAAGTGAGGACGAGGACCCCTGTCCCATGTCTGGGGACCAACAGTGGGTTCGCAGAGGTGGTAAACCAGTGCAGAGGACAAGAGAGGGCTGTGGGCTGGGGTCAGCTTTCTGTGTCCAGCTCAACAACTTTGTGCCAGTGTCTGGAGTTTACTTTCCCGCCTGGTGGCCTCTGTGTCACTATTCCACTCTGCACTAGGAGCCACTTACAGTCCTGGCCTAATTATTGGGGTCCTGGGAAGGAGTGGCTGTTGCATCAGCCCCCGAGGCCTGAAATCCCACCATCAGAGCTTCACTCTTCTGGAATTTTCTAGATGCACCACAATGGGAAAAGCAAGGGCCCAAATGCAGACAGACCTGGTACCAAAGCCAAGCTCCGCCTCCAGGTGCTGACCATGCACCTGGTGACCCAAGGGCCAGGGCCTCCTGAAGTTTTGTGCCTCATGCCTTGATTACTTCCCTGGGGTCTGGCTCTGCCACTCCCCCTCACTTGCTCTGTGAACCCAGGCAGGTTCTTTACTCCCTCTGAGCCTCAGTTTCCCTGTATATTAGACCACAAGACTACCTGCCTGGAAAGGTAGTTATGGGAGTTAAGTGAGATAACGTTGTCAGAGACCTAGTCCAGCAGCTAGAGGGCAGCTGTCGCTGGCAGTTGCCCAGGCCTGGTGAGCCTGTCCACTCCCTTCTTGGGGGTGGCTCCTGGGAGTTACAAGGGGTGCGAGAAGGCCAGCAGGGCAGATGGCAGGACAGTGGAGTCAGGGCTGTTGTGTTTCACTCAGGCCCCCCCATGCACACCCAGCCTAACTGCTTCGGGAGACCCTGCACCTGGGACTCCCCACAAGGCTCTGCAGCTTGCTCCTCAATCTTTGTAAACAATTTATTCTTGATGGTTGACAAATGACAAGAAATTAATATACCTGCCACTCAAGTGGAGAAAATGACTTCATAGTGATTCCAATTTACTGGAAATTACAAGATACAGCTCTCAACGAGTTGATGCTGTGATTTTTTTTCCCCCTTGTCTACATCCATGTCTTCTGGTCAGAATGGACGTTTATTGGGTTTGTGTTTTGTATTATTGACCGTGAGCTGTTGTTACCTGATGTAATTGAGTTGTGAATCTTTTTTAAATAAAGAATTATTACCAAATCAAACTGGCTGCCTGCTGGATCCTGCAAGTTTAGCCCAGCTGGGGTGCAGTGTGTGGGCTGTGTCTGTGCCCACCTTGGGGCGGGAAGGTAGAGGGATAGAGGGATCCCACTCAGAGAAGCACGAAGCACCCTATTTTTCTCATGTTCTACCCTCTTGACATGTGGGAGACCGGCACCCAGCTCTGAGCTCTGTCTCTAACCCCAGTGAGTCCCTTCCTCATCTGTGCAGATTTCCTCATCTGGGAAGGGGGATGGTCAGGTCAGGCCTGCCCGTCTTATGGGATTACTGTGAGGACTTGTGAGGGACATGTGAGTGTGTCCAGGGCTTGGTTGGCAGGAAATTGCCAATCAGACATGCAGTCTGACTGTCCAAATGGATCACATGAACCATCAGGTGACACCCCTGGGGGGTCAATGCTGAAGGGGCAGTGGGGGCATCTGCTTTGGGTGGAGCTGCCCTGCTCTATTCCTGGCACGTCCATGGATGAGGCTCGCTGTCCACTTCTGCCCTCAGCACCTGGCTGCCTGTGTGGCCCTCTGCACCTAGGAAAGCTGTATGGGATCACACAGACCTCCCTCTTCAAGCCCTCCAGCAGCAAATGGGGCTGCTGGGGAGGAGGGAGGGCGACTCTGGAAGCTTCATGGTGTGCCAGGGGCAGAAGTGGGACTCAAACTCCACTGTGCTTGCAGTGCATTGATCTTTGCTGAGTCCCCCTACCACCCCAGCTTCGCCTGCTCTGTGCCCTTTCTAGTGAAGGGGAACTGTACCATTACTTTGGCAATTAAGGGTGCCTTGTGACATCTCTTCTACTGTCATCTACAACTTTATTGGCATTGTGTACCACTATTGAACTTTCCTGCCCTGTGGTCTTTCCAGAGGCTGTGAGGCTCTGGGCTGTCGGTCCTGCCTCCAAGTCCGGCAGTACCTGCTCGGTGCCCTGAACTTTGTAGGAGCCCCTGGCTCAGTGCCCAGCACACACTGGGGCCCCATAGACCAGTGCCCAGGGCACAGTAGAAGCTCATGGTTCAGTGCCTGGCACACAGTGGGGGCTCTTTGACTGTTGTGAATTGGGTTGAGTTATGATGCTCACCCTGGAGCCAGGTGAGGGAACCCCAGAAACAGCCGTGGCCTAGGTCGGTGACTCTGGCTGGGACAGGAGGCCTCTTGCCCCCATCTGAAGAACGGGTGAGCTGTGTGAGAGCTGGCATCCGGAGCTGTGGGCTGTGCTTGAACAGGGTTTCATATGTGATCTTGGAAAGATGCTGAACTGAAGAGAAGGAGGAATGAAAGAGAGAGGGCTGGAGGGAGAGAGGGCTGGCGAGGGGGAGAGGGCGGGGAGAGGGAGAGGTGGCAGGGGATGTGGGCTGCACCGTGCCTACTCCTGTGTGCGCTCTCAACACTGTCGTCCCACAGGGCCAGGGTCTAAAAGTTCTGCTACCCCGCTGTCCCTCTCTGTCACCTGACCTGGCTTTTCCTTCTCTGTCAAGCCCCTTAGGAGATTAGCTGCCACCCACCCACCCTCTTGCTTCCTCAACTCCTTACACCACAAGCTGACCGTTGTCTTGGGCGCTGCTCTCCCTGCATGGGCCGCTCCTCAAATCCTACCACCCTCGCCATCCCTACCCTTCTTTTCTAGCCTTCTGTCCCTGTCCTGTCTCCCCTTTCTGACTGTTGCCAGTTATCAGCCCCTGCCTCCCATCTGCTCTACCGGCCTGCAGCCTCCTGGTTCTGGCTCCCTCCTTCCTTTGGGCACCAGAGGGAGCTCAAGGCTTTTGGGAGATGAGGCGCCCCTGGAGGTGGCCTCTGGCCGGCGTTTTGCAGCCCAAAGGTGCTGTCCTCCTGACTTCCGTGGCCAGCTGGGCACTGGCTTGTGTACGCTTCCTGCCCTCCCTGCCTCCCAGCTGGTTGACAGCTCTTAGGAAGAGTCTCCAGGCTGTACTTGGGGTTTCTGTCTCAGGAAGCTGTCTGCAAACCTAGGCTGAGTCAGTAGCGGTGAACCCATGGCACAAGCATTACTGTGTTTTTCTCTAAGGCAAAAGATATCAATGTAAGTTGCTTTTCTCCAAATTAAAACCTCAGTATTCAGGTTTAATTGTTGCGTTGACACTTAGGGTAAGTGGGTTTGGGATTGCAGTTTGGTACTCAGTCTCTAAGAGGTTCGCCATGTCTGGGTGAACCGCCTGCCCCTGGCCTTCGATGTGGTGCCTGGAGTAAACATCCACGGCAGTTCTTTCTCCTTACACAGAAATGCTTGCTCCATGGTCCTCGCCCTGCTGGTTGCAGCCTCTCTGGGCAGGGACTGGGTTCACTTTCGGATGCTTGTGCATGCACGGCATTCAGATGTGTGTTTACCATGGGACCCCAAAACCTGTAAAGCAGGACATGTGAGAGGTGGAGGGGCCACATGACCCCCGTACTGTTGACAGAGGAGAGACAGATCCAGGAAAGGAAAAGAAGTAGGGGAAGAGATGAGGGTCCCCAGTAGCAGCCATCATGGTTCTGCACCCCACTCCCCAGTAATCAGACAGCACTAGTTGAGCACCGCACTTCCATCATGGATGGATTCCACAGACAGGCTCCTGTTCTGTTTCTAAGGACCTTTTTCTCCTGTCCTATGGCATTTCCTGTTCTTTTCTCACTGCATGAGTCGCACTTACTAAGTAACAATAATTACCAAGGCGACAAAGTCCTCCTGAGAAAAGCACTGACATTTCAATGTGGATAATCTAACTTGGGGATGTTTTCATATGGTCTAAAAAGCAAACTATTAATTATCTGATTCTCTGATTACTGTTATTGTGACTGTCCTTACTGTCATCAAAGTTCCGAGTATCATCCAGGGTCAAGAACGAGGTAGAGGTCAGAAATGTCTGTTTGATCCAAACATTGGCTAAGATACAAGTATTCAACACAACAATAAAAATTCAAACCCAATGGTTTTTTGTTTTGATTGGTGCTATTCTAAGCCAGATTACAATGTCTCTTTTACTAATCTGAACACTTCAAAATGTACTGGTTCAACAGATGAAGGGGTCTTTGTGTATAATCACTAGACAATTCTGGCAGCAACAAGTATCAACCTTTCAGAGAGAAAGGAAACCGTTCTCTAATTTTAGCTAGGATTTTATCCATGCAGTGGCACTTCATGCAGATCTGAAACCTGACTAGACTTACATATGGCTGTGATTAATAATAAATGGGAATTTAATTAATTAGTATTTTGTAAGTGCAGTTCCTCTGGCAGGCCAAATCTTTCAAAAGCCAGGGACCATTTGAAGAAGTCAGAATGAAGTCAGCAGACACAGACGAGTCCAGAGGTATGCCCGTGGGGTCAGTCGGTTCCTGGAAATGCTGTGCACCTGCTGCTGCTACCATCGACACTCTGGCTGGGTACTCTGCCCACAGCCAGCGAGCTCACAATGTGGGCATTGTGTCAGACATCACAGCCAGTCAGGCAGGGGCTGGCATCTCTGTCTCTGCACACATAGGGACACAGAGTCTCAAGAGATTAAATAACCTGTGCAAGGTTGGATGGCTATGATTCACACTGTCTTGGGGAGTGCACCCCACAACTACCCATGGGAGGCATCTTCTGACCAAGAGGCTGTGTGTGAGAGGCAGCAGGGGGGTCTGGCCAATCCAGCTTTGGAATTAGCCTGGGAAAGGAGGGCACAATGGGCAGTTTCAGGGGATTACTGCTGGGGGCTCTGGCTATCTCACAGGTCTTCTGCTTTCTTCTTCACGTTGAGTTTTGCCCACGGGGCGTACTATCAATATCCCTTCAGGTGGCTGGGCCTCCCCTCCCGGGTCTCATTTCCAGATGCTTCCTGGAGTGGCTGTGGATGGCTCTGAGAGCCACATGCTTTTTTGTCCCTTTGCCCTCTCTGTGCCTCTCAGCATCCAGATGTGGGCCTTTGTGCAAACAGCAGACTCTGACCTGGAGCACTTTGGGTTTAAACCCCAGTTCTGGTCACTGAGTGTGCAGCCTGGTATCTGTAGCTCTGGACCTCTGACCCTAGGTGCCTCGTATGAGCAAAGGAGAATATCTACCATCAGTGACAATGCCACCCTCTCACTACTTAATGCTGGAAAAATACTGGGTCCTCACCAGCTTTCAAAGCCTTCTTCCCAGGAATCCCTTCCTTCCTGTTTGAGAATACATGGAGGTTCTGCTAGGAAGGAAGGGGAGGTCTCGCTTGCTCGGTATGGGGATCCTGGGGTGGCTGAGTGGTTTAGAACACTTTATTGGTGAGAGGTGACTTGGAGCAGCCAACCTGATTGCAGCTAAACCTTGTGATTTCATTTCGGCCCCGAATGTCACTTACAAAGCACTTACGGCTCTGCCCGGAAACACATTTACCCTAGGGATGGGGCCATCACAGGACAGGACATAGTAAGCTGGAGAGAGAAAACAGGGCAACCTGAGAAGCCCCTTTCCTTGGAGGGACTGCAGGAAGGGAAGGAGAGCTTACAACCCACTGTGTCCCTGGGAACTTCCAGCAACACTGCATGAAAGACAGCCCAGCTGTGTGCTGCTGGATGGGCGAGTGGCACTGGGCCATGCCCTCGATGTCTGAACTTGAGGGTTGTTGCTACGTTTGTGACTGCTGGGAGCCTCCTGACTCTGGCCTGTTTCTTCACTGCTAAAATGCAGACTGCTGCACTGGTTTTGCCCAAGCCACAGAGTCTGCAGGAGGACTTTCAGGCTAACTTGAGTCTGGGGTCTGAGGGAACTTACTGATTCTCAAAGGTTGCATCCACATCAACTGGGCATTGGTGACAATTCATATTCTGGCTGGGGTATAGCTCAATGGTAGAGCACATTCCTATCATGCAAAAGGCCTTGGGTTTCATCTCCAGTACAATACACACACACACACACACACACACACACACACACACACACACACTTCAAAACACAATCAGTCACTTGAATTCTGGGTTTCAACCAGTGCTCTGAGTGGCACCAGGAGTCACCCCCCTCCTGCCTGACCCCACAGGGCTGGGGTTGAGTTGAGGCCAGCGGTAAGAGTGTGGTCAATGCTGACCCAAAAACTAGAGCTCAAGGATAAGAATGTTAGTGCTCACGTGGATTGTATTTTTGCTTTCCAAATATTTTTACATGCATTTTCTTATCTGAATAGCATTAAGTAGCATTCAAAGAATAGCCCATCATAGTCATAATTATTAGCGATAGTTGTGAAGCCAGCTCCTGTGCACGTATCTCCTCCACAGTCGCTGAGCTGCCCCCATATTCCATCTCCAGTCCTTACACCCCTTTATGGGCCAGGGCTTGTGATCCGCGAGCCTCCGTGCGCCTGGTCCCCCTGGTGCATGCATCCACTCCCCCTCCAGAGAGTGGGTCCACTTACCCCTTAGTCTCTGGTTCTCATACGCACCTGTAGGTGTCGGTGGCTGGCACTTTCCAGATCTGGACGCCCTTCAAGGGCCCTTCGCTCCCCACCATCACGCTCAGGTTGGAGTTCTGGTAGGCGTTGTTGCACTGGGTCTGAGTGGGGCCGTGGGGCCCACTCGCCCCGCACGTGGTGAATAGCCAGTGAACTGTGGCACAAAAGGAGAGGTAATCACTCACTCAGCCTGGCCCTTTCGCCTCCATAGGCTTCCCTGGGCTGTCCAGTGCAGTACTGGCCAACCTCAGTGATTACCTGTGCTACTGTGACTGCATCTAGCCCCATCCCCGAGGGCTGGCATGGCACATGGGTACCTTTCAACTTGGAGAAGAAGAGCAGAGTAAATAAAGCACAGTATTAGTCTCTGGGCTCCACCACTGACCGAAGGACCCAGGACAGGTGGGAGCTGGAAGCCTCCTGGGTGTGGCTTTGCCTATCAGACACAGATAACAAGCCCTCAGCTGAGCAGGACTCGGTCTGTCTACAATTGGCTTATAGAGGAGCTTTTAGGTTGCCAATGCAAGACAGAGTACAAACACAGGACAACAGGTCAACTCTATCACATTTTCTCTCTTTTAACCAGGCGAAGTCCACTGCATGCTGTGTCCTGTCCTCTCCCCAAGTGGCTCCTGTGGTCTCACAGGAGCATTGAGCACAAACCCCTCCCAGCTGGACCTACACTTCCACACTGTCTGTCTTTGAGCCAGTCCAGGCTTTGGGAGACAGTTGATTCTTTTGTTGCCTAAAATTCTAATATGTTTTACGACTTACACAAACTTTAAAAAGTCTAGTGTTGATAAATTACTTTTACTTAAAATAAAAAAATCTCATTATCAAGTTGCCAAAAATGATATCTCTTTAAAGACAGATTAAGTTAAATTCTACCCACAAAAATTAAGGGAAAATTAATTTCAATGATGTAGCTTTGTTCAGTGAGACATTAAAGTGAGTATTTCTAGAAGACTTCAGACTAACTCAATGATGAAAGTGTAAGAGGTTAATTTGGGTTGCCAATTATAAATAATCAGTGAGGGCTGGGGATTTAGCTCAGCAGCATAAACGCTAGGTCATGAGTTCGATCTCCAGTATAAAAAAAAAAAAAAAATCAGAGTGAGAGTCCATTGGGCAAGACAAATCTGAAAACTGGGCCATCTGCGGTGAGCTTTTATAACACAGTCCTGGCCCCAGGGTCAGGAAAACCAAGTTCTAGTGGGTTTACACTGAGTACTTGTGCTTTTTTTTTTTTTTTAATGAGAATGTTGCTTTCTACTTAATTTCTGAAGATCATATCAAGAGCTAGGAGGGAGCGAGTCCATTTACATTTGGTACGTGTGGCAGATGGGTTACCTTTCTGATGTATTTCCACTGAGTTCCTGTTAACTGAAAGGACTCGATCGATCTTCACAGAAGGTATTTTTGAAGAGCTTGTTTATCCAGTTGCCCAAACTGTAACTGTGAGCTGTGCTACAGGTATGAAGTGGAAGGCCCGTGGGTTTTGAAATCACTGAGAACACCTGGATTTGGGGGCAGCCTCATCAATGACAGATTGTGAGACCTTGGTCTCTTTCTCTTGTCTAAAAAGAAGGATGGATTAGCATGCTAGATTAGAGGCAATGGGGTATGCAACATCATGGTAAAGTCTGAAACTAAAAATGTGACTTCTTTCAGTGGTTCCTGTCTCCATCTAAGGCTGGTGCTGTCCCTAGTAACATAAAATGTTACTAGCGAGTTTGTGTGACTATGAATTTGGGAACTCAAACTCAGTAAGTGCGGGGATAAAGATGGGGGTCAAGAGGGATGGAAACCCAGTCCCCTCGTTGTCTCCCAGCCTAAAGTCCATTCTGCAGATCCAGCTTGTGCCTGTAGCAAGCATCTGGGTTTGAAGAGTTCCATAAAACTGAGGAGAGAAACATGCAGGTTCATGTAATTCAATCCTTGACATAGAAGAATACCTGGTGTGCCAGGAGAGAGCACTACAGGCTTGGCACCTTAATCAGCATGTTACCTTCAGTGGGAGCCCCCTCAGGCTAAGTGACATTGTCCTGAATGTTCTGAGATGTCCCCAGGGATTCTGGGATTCTCCTTTTTGGCTAGATGGAACATCTGGTGGGTAGGAAATGGGGCATGGATTTGGGTTTAGACGGGCTGAGTTTTCTCATACTGGATTTGCCTCCCACTAGCTTTAAGACCTGGGTAGTATTCTATGACTTCTCTGGGCCTCAATTTTCTAATCTGAAAAAATGGAGACTGTTCATCTCGTACTTAGACTTTTTGTATTATGACCTAAGTAAAGTGCTTAAGACAACAGTTGGCATTCAAAATACATAATGAGGGGCTGGGGATTTAGCTCAGCAGCATAAGCACCTGCCTTGCAAGCAGGCAGTCGTGAGTTCGATCCCTGGTACCGATAAAAAGGTAAAAAAAAAAAAAAAAAGAGCAAACAAAATACATAATGGATACAGTTTAACAAATGTATTACTTCTAGCTCAATTTCTTACTAGGAAGCAGACACCCAATCTCAAGATTTATACCCCCATTCTATAAAGGAGGTTCTTTAGGGCCATTTCTTAATAAAGGGACCAGTATTTTCCCAATTCAGTGGATGTGTATTAGTCTCAGGTGGTTTCCATACAAAATTTTGTTTTTATTTTCAACAATTTCTGGTGGAAAGGTACAGAGAAGAAACCCCTTTTCAAGTGGATTCCATGGGAATAGAGACTTTGGCATCCCAGGCCACACTCATGATTCATCCACAGAATTCTGCTGTCTCCAGCAGTCTTTGAGGCACAGAGGTGCCCCCTGCTCTTGCAGATGGCTCTGACCCTCATAAATCTGCCCCACTTTGTTTGGAATCAATTTCTATTTCCCGCCAGCATCCCTTCTTGGGGGGTATGGAGGTTTTGAGTTTATTGCTCATCATGTAAGAGCTACCGTGCTTCTCATGGGGCTGTGCTTGTCTTGTTCAAGCTTTGTCCTGTTGGTTCCCTTTGTGAATTCTGTCCGGAGTCTCACAGAAGTCAGAGGATGCCACAGCATGATGAGAACTTGGACATCACCTAATTAGTGATTCCCAAACTACCTGAGGATCTTTAAAACACAGGGCTCTGGGGAGTCAGACTCAGTAGATATTAGTAGGAAAGGGGATTCAATCATTGTATAGTACTACGAAAAACCTTCCCAAGAGAATCCAATACTCACTCAAATTTGTACATTATCTCACTTCCCTCGTTGTCCAAATGAGGAAAGAGCATTCAAGAGAGAGGAAGTGACTTTTCTACACATAACAGCAATAGAGAAGAAGCCAAAATTAAGAATCAGTCTTTTGCTATGGATCTTTTGGATGGTGATCAAGCCCTTTCCGGTTTTCTGCCTTGAAGACATCTGTTCTTTTCACAATCTCCCTGTACAAGTACAGATTCCCTGTGTCCTTCTCAGGATCCTTTTTATTTTTATTTCATATTTCGATACTGGGGATCAAACTCAAGACCTCACACTTGCTAAGCAGGCATTTGTGCCACTGGGCTAAACCCCCAGCCCTCAGAATCCTTTTTAATATTAGAATCTGCTTTTTGAGATGGGCCCTTTAGAACTGTGATGTCTGTGATTTTGTTTCAGGGAACCATTTTTAGTTTGCTTTATAGACAGCTTCCTTCTGAAGGTGTTTGATTGGAACAGACTCTGATACTTTCTAAACTTTGTTCAAGGGGTGAGGTATTGTTCTGGGCTGATGATATTAATTATTGTGGGGTTAGGAGTTCTGTAGAGGAGGCATCTGGAATAGGGGGCCCTAGAAACAGACAGGACCTGGCAGGTGTAACCCTTGAGGCTGGCAGGCAGGAGATCAGTTCTAAGCCACGGCAGGTTAGAACCATGAGGACTTAGGTAGAGGTTTGCTCATTTCCAACAGGGTCACCAGAATTGAAGACCTGGGAACAACTTTGTAAATTAAGCCAGGCAGACCCAGAACTCAAGAGTCAAAGGAATCAGTAACTGTGCTCCGGGGAGCAGGAGTCAAGGTTTGCTTTGTTTCCTGATTTGTTCTGTCCTTCTCTCTGGTTGTGTGTGGGTGGGACAGTAGAGGGCTGCTGTATACCTTTACTTGACTGGCGAATGGAACAAAAACCTCTCAATATTTACTGTGCACTTAATGTGGGTCAGGCCCTGGACTTTCATACATATATTAAATACCTTTAAACTTGCTGAGACTGTGTAGTGCAAAAGGCAGAGTTATAGCATTCCCTTTAAAGACCAGAAGTTCAAGTGCAGAGAAGCCAAGTGACCACCCACAGGCCCCAAAGTGAGTGCTAATTAAATGTAGGTCTTCTAGCAAGCTCAGGGCTTAAAAAGGTGCTACCAGGGTCACCAGGACATCGGCCTGGAGCTTTTCTGAGTGTTAGGTTCCTTCCTTTTTAGTCCCTGAGTCCCAGGGAGCTCAGTTCAAGCCAGGACAAACCAAACCAAGATGCTCAGGCTAAGGGAGTATGCAGGCCACTTGGAAGGGACAGCTGAGTTGGGCGAGTGGCTGTGGTGGTGGAGTCTCAGTCCTAGAAAGTCCCACAGTGGCCCCGGCAGTGGCAGAGCCCAGTGAAGAGTGGGCTTAGGGAACTAGGATCACCGGACCAGCAGAGGGGAGCGGGAGTTCAGGACCAGGGATATAGTTCCGAGAGAGGCCACAGGAGACAGGCAGGGCAGAGAGGGAAATTCGGTATCTGCAGTGTTTACAAGGTCAGGTGTGGGGGACCTGGCCAGGGGTGAAGGATCAAACTGAATCTTTAAACTTGCTTTGTTTTTCCCTCTAATGCAGAAAGAATAGGTATACATGTAGAGGCTTATACATGCCTAGGTATGTATAACAGGTGTACATTTAGACACTTAAAGTTGCCTAGAACTTCTCCTAAACAGTTTCTGAGAATGGATTATATTATGTGTGATTAAATGAACAGCTATTTTGAAGAAAAACAGATATTATGGTATCCAGTGCTGATTCCTATCATCATGCTATGACATTTAGTAATGCTTCTATTCTTTGTTCAGAATGGTTTTATTCTGTTTTGTATTGTTTAATTTCAACATACATGAAGGTAGGGACAGCTATTTTGAAAAGAACAAGAGACATTACAGTAGCCATTGTTGATTATCCTATTGTCTGGT